ATAATCTCCACCCCACTTTTCCAGGATTTTCCCTAAAATACTCATATCAATCACCCCTTTAGATTACTTATAGCATGTTTAGGAATAATTATTTTGAAGGAATAAATAATCTTTTCAGAAAATTTGGATTAAAATATTTTTTAATTATTTTAATCTCAAAGTACACACTATTTCAAATACGGACTTGATGTTATAACTTTATAATTGATGTATCCATTGCAATGTTATTAAAACCGGCCTGGTCATTGACCGGTCGAGGTACCGGGTCACTGGTTCAACCAGTGGGTTACTGGTTCAATCGCATGACCTGATAATTATATGCAATTTTATAATTTATATTAAAAAATTATAAACATACTCAAATATCTAAAAAATGATAAAAATTTCAAATATTTTGATACAAAAAATAATAAATCACATATTATTATCAAATAAAAAATCAAACAAAAATATAACGATCATGATACGGGGCTTTAGGTTCATAAAATGACATCTTTAACTATAAATTAATTCAAAATTTTATACATAGTACATAATTGAAATAATATTAGTGTTGTAGGCACATAACTTATATAAGTCGATAAGCAAAAAAATATTTAAATATGGCTATTATGATTTTTTTTAAAAACAAAATTTTGGAATTTTTTTTTTGGGACCGAGCCGGGTCACCGGTTTATATGAAAACCGACCGGGTCAGACCGGGTCGCACCGGTTCTGATGCATGACCGGTCCGTTGCTTCAACCGAACCGGTTATATAACTAATTTACCAATTTCCTAGTCGACTCGGCCGGATCGGTCCGGTTTTAATAACTATGATCGATTGTCTGGGCACCATATATCATCATATGTATGTCTATAGTGTTTTTTTTTTATAGTCTTTATCTAGACACTGTATCTACTAATCTAGAAATGTTTTTTTGGTGATTATATATAGGAAATTTTCTTCTATGAAACGGATGTATTTATTTGAGTATATCTTTTTTCTAAAAGAAAAAAAAAATTTCCCCCTTTAATCTATATTTTTTTAATACCAATATACCATACATCAGTTGTACCAAAAAAAGTTCCATAATATTAGAGATGTCAAAATGGGTTGGCATGTTCTGTCCCGCTATCAATCTGTCATAAACGAAACCGGGCAGTTGGCTCCCCACATATATAAAAATGTGTTGGGCCATATGAGAAGAAGAGAGAGAAAAAGAAAATGTAGGCTCCACATACTTTCATGTATTGTAAGAGATAATTTTATCTGAGAAATAATAATCTCATGAATAAATTTACTTTTTACAACCCTTCGAAATTTCTTATGCAAGCACCCGTATATCACTTAAGCACATTAATTTAGGTTTCATTCTTATAACTGAATTTATTTTTCCATCGTGCCAACTTGTTTGGCACATTAAAAAAATGTAGAGATTGATATCTTAAACGGAGGGAGTAAAATCTAAATAAATGAATATATAAAAACAAGTATCTAAACATAGAAAAAATAAGCGTTAAAACTTAAAAAAGTAAAAATTATGTAATTTAAAATTATTTATTTATTTTTGCTAGATTTAAAATTATTTATAAACCTAGCAAAAAAAACATTTTTTTTAATAAATTGGTGAAAAGTAAGATGACATATAAACGGCAATTTAAATAAATGATGATATACCAGTATTGTCTTTGGAAGGAGTTTAAAACCTTAATGTCAGGATCCGCTCTGACTCGGACTAATTACGATGGATTGATTGAAATATGTCCAAAAATAAAATAAAAATAAACGATGATATACTACATTTTTATTTATTATAATATAATATCAAAAGTCATTCAATGCTACTTTTTCCATATCATTCGCTTTTTCATATTTCATTTCCTTCCTTGGTGTTTTTTTTTTTTTTAAATGCACCATTTTGTTTCAATATTTTCTACTATACCCTTTTCTATAATTAAATACTCACGCTATTGCTCTTGACGTGTATGATATCCATCCTCATACGGATAGAGCTATACATGGAAATCACTTCCCATTGCAATAGGAATAAGCATCGTGTTTATGTGTTTCGTCATAACTTTCATACTTATTCCTAATATATACAATGGAATCTGATTTCACTCCTTATCCTCAGCCCTAATATGTACATAGCTAGTGAATCATTCTTTTGTCTAGGAAACAATTAATTGAATAATTAAAATGAGGTTAACTAAGTCAAATAAAAAAACCATTTCAATTGCTGTAGTATTATTAATACATAAGTCGCTTTTACCACAAAACTTGCTGATCAGCTGCTGATTCAAATCTTTATGATAGAATGAAGGGTGCATGCAAAGTTTAAAAAGTTGAAAAAGAAGGGAAAAAATCTTATCCATATCGGTACTTTACACGGCATGCAAACGAATCAAAGAAGGACCGAGACGTTGATATTGTATAGTTGACAAATTAAGTATAGGGAGCTAGCAAAAGCACTGACACTGAAGACTTATTATATTATAATTTCTCGATAAGCTTTAAGAGGTTATCATATTTATTAAATGAGTTTAGTGTGTGTCATTCAAAAGGATACAAGTTGTGCCTTTTTAGTGATTTACATAGAGTACGACCGGTCGTATTCTGTGTAATTCTGAAAAATTACTTCTTCTTTTTTTCACTTTACACGTTAGCGATTTGACTAAAGAGAGAGAAAAACAAACAACTTTTCAGTTTTACACAAAGTACGACCAGTCGTACTTTATGTAAAACACTTAAAATGACACAAGATTGTGTTATTCGAAAGGATGCTTCTTTTTCCCTTATTAAATTATTATTACATTACATGTATTTTAATTAGCAACTTCGAAAATATAAACAATCGATACTAGACAATAAAATTCTAAAATATATGTTCGTTCATACGTCATATATTCCACTTTATCATATAACTTTAACCCAATGTGGACCGCATTAGAATGCAACTAATTACTAGTTAAATTAAAACAATTAATTAGATGTCCAGTGCTATAGACCTCTACTTGATTGCAAACCAAAAATAAAAGGAAAACTAGCTAGAACGTGGGTTCATGTTGAATCGGATAATACTGCTTTAGGTGCTGAGGTTTGATATAGATACAAATAATCTTAAAGCCATGTCATGGTCTCATTATCTAATATAGTGTTGGGTTACTCCTGTCGCAATCAGTATCCACACATTTTTCAATTTAACCACGTCAGTTTTGGCGTTTTGATATACCAACCCAGTGACTTTCCCGTGTTTGTTGACCACTTTATGGAACTGATTGATATTGGAGTTAATACCCTAATGCGAAGATCTAAGTTTGCTTTTGGACGTTGAAAATCATTTACGTGCAGACATGAACCAAGAATTAATATTCACCTATAGCCTGATTGAACTAGGTCTGCGAAGAATTAAAATTGATAACCAAACGGCATAAGGGGCTGCACATGTGTAGCATTATCCATTTGCCAACACACAAATGGGAACAATCAATTCCATGCACGTACGCATAACTTGCTTTTGAACTTTTGATGTCCATAACATGGCCCTGTCACCAGCGAAGCTTGACACAGCGGTCCCAAAGTCGCTGAGAAAATGAAGGAATTTAAGTTTCTGAATTCATGAAAGGGGATCCGTACCAAAAGAGATGGGTTGAACAAGCATCACTACAAAAAGGATGTTTGAGTTTCAAGCACAAAAAATCCTTAGCCAAACGTATTGTGGTAAAGGTTTGGCAATAACTTTGAACATTTAGATGTGAATTAAAACGTCAACCATGTGAGATTGTTGACCTTTTAACTCAATTCCTATTCACTCAATTGTCTTGTCCACGTATGATGTTTCAGACAGAAAGCGACTTTGAGATTTTGAAGTTCAGGTTAAATGTCAATTAGATATATGAATTGGAAATTTTTATATATCACAGCATTTTTTATATGGAACCGGATCATTTTGAAATAATTTAGATGATTAAGTAAGAAAATAATGAATGATATTTTTAATTTGTGTCATGAAATACATGTTCACAAAACTCTTATTTTGATGGAAAAAAAATAGAGGATTTAAATTTTAATGTGAGGTTCCTCAGGCAGTCGGTGGTAAAGCGAGGGAGGGGACGTCCCTTCCAAGTTTATACAAACTTTTAGAATTGAGCATTATTATTTTTTATCATATATAATGAGTAATAATACTCCATCAGCTCAAGTTAGCAAATCAGCCAACTCATCAAGTTTGTCAAGACAGTTGTAACTTCTTTTATTCTGTGTTGAGTATTAGCAGATATCAAGTTGTAATATAAATAGAATACTGTGTATTGTAAAATCGACAAATTCAATTCATTCAAGTTCTTTACATTTTCCCTCTCTTTTCATCGATCTTTTTATGGTATCAGAGCTTCATCACGAAGCTCTGGTATTCAGATCTTTTTCTGTGAATTTCTCTCAACTATGGCAGATCCAATAAATATTCCAATTCCTAATCCTGTTTCAATCTCAAACCAAAATTTATTACCAGAGTTTCTAACAAACCCAGGGAATCCTCTTTACCTTCATCCAAACGAAAATCCTTCCACTGTATTGGTTTCATCACTTCTCAATGGTGCAAATTACCATTCGTGTTCAAGAGCTATGAAGATGGCTCTCATGTCAAAGAACAAGTTGAAAATAGTTGATGGTTCGATGATCATTCCTGACAGTTCAGATCCGTCTTTTGAGGCATGGGAGAGGTGCAACAACATGGTTCTAGGTTGGATACATAGAGCTATAAGTGAATCCATAGCTAAATCTATACTTTGGATAGATAAGGCAGTTGATGCATGGACAGATCTTAAGGATCGCTTCTCTCAAGCAGATATTTTCCGGATCTCAGATCTACAAGAGGATATATATAAGCTTCATCAAGGAGAAAGAAGTGTTGCTGATTATTTCACTGAATTGAAGATCTTATGGGATGAACTTGAGACTTTGAAGCCTCTACCACAGTGTTCTTGTAATGCTTTGAACAAGATGTGAAGCTACAGAGATATGGATCATGTTATCAGGTTCCTAAAAGGTTTAAACGAGCAGTTCAATGGAGTAAAATCACAAATAATGCTGATAGATCCACTTCCAGAGGTCAATAAGGTATTTTCACTTGTATAACAGCAAGAGAGACAAATCAGCAGTGGAATTTCTGTTATGAATGATGCCTTGAATCAACCAAAGGCATTTGCACATTATTCTGATAATAAAAATGCACCTTATGGTAGAGGAAAATGGAGGCCAAGCAATGGTAGAGGAAATGGAAACAAATTCTGTACAAATTGCAAGAAGACTAATCATACAATAGAGACATGCTACTTCAAGCATGGATTTCCTCCAGGCTATAAACCACGTAGCCAATATTCAGCTGCAAATGTTACTGTTGGTGGAACTGAAAGTATCAAAAGTCGAGCAGAATTTTCCTTTTTCTGCTGATGAGCAGCTACGATTGAGAGGTCTTCTGCAATCACTGTCAGCCAAAGAAAATAATGTTTCTCACAGTGCAAATCTTGTTCAGGCATTCTCTGCAAAGGTAACCCAACCACAAGGTAAAACTTATATGCAATGGATCTTGGACACAGGTGCCACAAATCACATATGTTTTACCCGAAGCCTTTTTTCTTCCTTAAACAAAATTTTGCCAATCTCTATTTCCTTACCTAATGGTCATTATATGACTTCAGAATTTTCTGGTACAGTTAGCATATCTCCTCACATCATTTTGCAAAATGTGTAATTTGTTCCAGAATTTAAAATAAACCTTATATCCATTACAAAGTTTTTAAAGACTACACCATGTTATATAACTTTTGACCAATCTTCTTGCCTCATTAAGCAGAAATATACGAAGGAAACGATTGGTTTAGCTGAAGAAAGAGAAGGGTTGTATGTGTTAGTCACCAAGATCATGAAGCAAAACCCATCAGCATTCGATTCTCATTCTATTTCTCAGCATAGCAGTAGCAATAATGCCTCATATTGTAATAATTCCTCTTTAGAAAACAATGGTTCAGTTTTATGGCATTATAGACTTGGCCATTTATCTCATTCTGTGATGAAAACAATGTATAAGAAATTTCCTTTCCTATCAATGAAAGATGATTCTCCTTGTGACATATGTCATTTTGCAAAACAATCCAAACTTCCTTTTCCCTCAAGCACCACAACCACTGAAAAACCTCTCCAAGTCTTACATGCAGACATATGGGGCCCTTACTCAACCCCATCATTACATGGTCACAAATACTTTCTCACATTGGTCGATGATGACAACTGCTATACATGACTTATTCTGATGAAAACAAAATCAGAAACAAGGAGCTCTTTACATAATTTTGTCAATTATGCAGAAAACCAATTTCAGCAAATAGTTAAAATCATACGATCAGATAATGGACAAGAGTTCATCATGACTAGATTCTACAATGACAAAGGAATTATTCACCAACGTACATGTGTTGAAACCCCACAACAAAATGGGATAGTGGAAAGAAAGCATCGTCACATCTTAAATGTTGCTAGAGCTTTGACATTTCAAGCCAACTTACCCCCTAAACTTTGGTGCTATGCTGTAACCCATGCAACTCATCTCATAAACCGTATTACATCACCTATCCTTCAAAACAAAAGCCCCTTCCAAATGCTATACAGTTTACCTCCCATCCTTATCCACCTCAAAGTCTTTGGCTGCCTTGCATATGCAAGTACACTAACTAGCAACCGTTCAAAGTTTGATCCCCGAGCCAGAAAATGTGCTTTTTTTGGATACCAACCAAATACAAAAGGTTATATACTCTATGATCTTTCAGCTCACACAATATTTATACCCCGCCATGTTATATTCTTTGAAACCTACTTTCCATTCCCAAAACCAGAACCTCCAATCTCTACCCTTCCACTTATGCAGCATTGCCCCTTAACCAATGAAACTGATCATGATTTTGCCTTTCCATCATATCCTATCAGCTCAAGTCAGCACACTCAGCCAACCTTACCAGCTCAAGAAATACCAGAGTTCACTACTGCTACTGCAACTGATGCTACAAATCAGACTCAAAGCACCAGAAAATCCACCCGAATCCGCCAACCCCCTTCATATCTTGTTGACTATCACTGCAACCTGCCTACTTCTTCAGCCTACCAACATTCCTCAGGTATTTCTTATCCCCTATCTTCTGTTTATTCATTTGATCTTTGCTCACCCTCATATCAGCATATCTGTTCCAATCTGAGTACACACATTGAGCCTAAATCCTACAGTGAGGCTTCAAAACATGAATGTTGGCGGGATGCCAAGTAAACTGAACTGAATGCACTTGAACAAAATAATACATGGTCCCTTGTGGATATTCCTTCGGGTGTTCAACCGATCGGATGCAAATGGGTATTCCGAATTAAACATCGTGCAGATGGCTCCATTGAACGCTTTGAAGCTCGCCTTGTAGCAAAAGGCTACACCCAACTAGAAGGACTTGACTTCTTTGATACCTTCTCACCAGTAGCAAAACTTACCACAGTCCGTGTTCTACTCTCTTTGGCTGCTATTCATGGTTGGACACTTCAACAGCTTGATGTTAACAACGCTTTTCTCCATGGCGATGTTCATGAGGATGTCTATATGCATATTCCTCCAAGATTCAGTTCCCATTTTCCCAACAAAATTTGCAAACTCCAAAAGTCATTATATGGGTTGAAACAAGCAAGTCGCCAATGGAATGCTAAGTTGTCTTCCTCTTTGATATCCCTTGGTTACAAGCAGTCATCAGCTGACCACTCTTTATTTGTCCACAAAACTAGTGCATACTTTACTGCATTATTAGTTTATGTGGATGACGTTCTACTTACGGGTAATGACTTAGATGAGATAGTTCGTGTTAAGAACTTCTTGGATAAAAAATTCAAAATAAAGGATCTTGGACCAACTCGTTATTTTTTGGGCTTGGAGCTTTCTTGTTCTTCAAAGGGTATTGCTGTGAATCAACGTAAGTACTGTCTTGAATTGCTTGAAGATGGTGGAATGTTGGCTGCTAAACCAGCAAGTACACCATTAGATCCTTCTCATAAAATGCAATGTATACAAGGGGAACCTTTTGTCGATGTTGCTTCCTACAGACGTCTTATTGGTCGTCTTCTCTATTTGACAACCACAAGACCAAATATTATGTTCTCTGTACAACAATTAAGCCAATATGTTGCTAATCCTATGCAATCTCATCATATAGCAGGCCTTAGAGTATTGCGCTACTTGAAAGGATCTTTAGGGAAAAGATTACTCTTCCCTACACATAACAACACCCATATCTCTCCCTTTGCTGATGTAGATTGGGCTTGCTGTTTGGACACAAGACGCTCCGTCACTGGCTTTTGCATATTCATTGGATCTGCTCTGGTCTCATGGAAATCGAAGAAACAGAGCACTGTCTCTCGTTCTTCCACCGAAGCTGAATAGAGATCCTTAGCAAGTCTAACCTGTGAGCTACAATGGCTGCACTATTTGCTTAACGATCTCCTTATTGTTCCTACCAAACTTGCTTCCGTATTTTGTGATAACAAATCAGCCATTTACCTTGCGCATAATCCAGCTTTCCATGAGCAATCCAAGCACATAGAGTTGGATTGTCACATTACCTGTGACAAGATTACCGAAGGGCTTATCCATTTGCTTCAAGTTTCTTCTGCAGCCCAAGTCGCAGACATGTTTACGAAAGCCTTGCATCCTCAACCTTTTAATTTGAATGTCAGCAAGCTGGGTCTCTTTGATATTCATCGTCCCGCTTGTGGAGGGTAATGAGTAATAATACTCCATCAGCTCAAGTCAGCATATCAGCCAACTCAACAAGTTTGTTAAGACAGTTGTAACTTCTTTTATTCTGTGTTGAGTATTAGCCGATATCAAGTTGTAATATAAATAGAATACTGTGTATTGTAAAAACAAATCGACAAATTCAATTCATTCAAGTTCTTTACATTTTCCCTCTCTTTTCATCGATCTTTTTAATATATTTGACCTCTGATCACTGTATGGGCTTGGTCTTGTTCCTTCTTCATTGATTGCAAACATACTAGTAATTAGTAAAACAGTCACTCTATACAATCTAATAATTTACTGTTCCAGTAAGATAGAAATTCACTTTTAAAGAATATATAATGATGCATCATTTTTTGATTTAGATTATTTAATTAATTAGTATTAATAGTGCATCGCCAATTAATAGCTAGCTGATGAGTATATTTTTATTTCTTATTGTATATGTTACAGTGAATATGAAAATTTATTTATTTTTAACGTGTGTCACGTCGTTATTTGACGAGAGTGTGTAACGTTATATATTTACAATAACTAACTTTAATTATGTGTATAGTTGATCAATTATATGGTAAAATAATATTTTTGTGTAAACATACATTTTTTAATTAAATTTTTGTTTAGTTAATTTAAAATTTATTCACTGTTATTGTTTGTGTTTAAAACAAAACGTTACTCGATCCTCATGCTGTTGAAGATGTAATAAAATCATTATAAACTGTTACAATAATTTGATATTGACACAGTACAATTTTTTTAAATAAAAATATTATTCCTTAATATAGTACAAGAGTCCAGTGAATATATTGTTTGGTAGTTCTGCCAATTTTAATCTTTGCTCTAAGGTATCTACCAAAATTAGATACCTTCTTAAAACGATAATACTGCGCTAGCTCCTCCGCTTCTAGAGAGTTAAAATTTTTGGAGAAGAAAATATAGAATTTTTTTTTTTGGTAAACAGAAAATATAGAATTTATACGGACTGATCCACTGCCCTAAATTGATCAACGTAGCACATAACGACGTTCATCAGCTTCAGTAAAAAAATAAAATAAAAAATTGAAAGCATGGACAAAAAAATGGAATAATTCTTTAGTACAATTGATGCGCTGAAGATTCAGTGCGATTTATTTTATAATATGTGAATAAAAATATTACGTCATCTGAAAAAAAAAAATTAAAATAACAGCTGAGCAGATGATATAATTTTTTTTATCCACGTATTATAAAATAAACGATAATTGCACCGGAGATTTAATGCATTGGTTACACTAAAAATTTGTTGTGAAAAAATGAAAGATATGAAGTAGGGATAATAAACGAACCAGGGTTCTTTCAGAGACCTTTGATTCGATTCGTGAAGGCTTGAACTTATATACCTAAAATTGGTTGTTGGATTCAGGTTTGAACTTGTATAAAAGCTAGTTTAATAAAAAAGTCTCAGATTTCAATTCAAAAGCTCGGCCTTATAGCATCTCTGGTTGACCTAGTATATTAATATTTATTTTATATTTTTTATACTAGCTACTTGTAATAGCCCTTTGTCTTTCCTTAATCCTTTTCACCCCAATTTATTGGTTAAACAGATTTTTTGAATGATTTTGTTCTATATTATGCTGTTTGTATATACATTGAATTTATGAATATTTATGAAATTACTAGTGTTATTGATTGTATATTCTGTTTGGATAAATTTTTGTTGTCTTGATTTTTTAAAATAGGTTAACAGGCTAATTAAGGCTTTCATTTTTTGTAAATAAGTCAGGCCACAAATAACAGGCTTGATCAGGCTGATACATTTAAACACAAACTTAACTTTTTAAAATCAAAATTTGACTCGACTCGGCCAGTTAACATCCTAATCCGAAATCTTTTATCTTTGAATTTGGAAGCATATAACTAATGGATCACATATAGATAGACACACATGTCAAGGCCCGATAATTTTTGTTGTCTTGATTTTTTAAAATAGGTTAACAGGCTAATTAAGGCTTTCATTTTTTGTAAATAAGTCAGGCCACAAATAACAGGCTTGATCAGGCTGATACATTTAAACACAAACTTAACTTTTTAAAATCAAAATTTGACTCGACTCGGCCGGTTAACATCCTAATCCGAAATCTTTTATCTTTGAATTTGGAAGCATATAACTAATGGATCACATATAGATAGACACACATGTCAAGGCCCGATAATGCCCTCCATGTCGGGCGCAAGTACGTGTCCAATAAAACCTCCAGGTTAAAAGAGTATATATATATATATATATATATATATATATATATATATATATGGGGTTTGATTTTATCATTTTAAAAGAGAATTCAATTCTCATGTTATAGAGATAAATAGCATGTGGGACCCAAGTGTTAGAAAAAATTATATGTAGGACCCATGTCAGCACGAAAATCGAAGGGTGTGTAGGAAAATTTGAATTCTCATTTTAAATGAGAATTATAAAACCCTATATATATATATATATATATATATATATATATATATATGGAAAAATATTTCTACAGTCACTTTAGATAAGGTTGTTTACAGCTATCCTTTTTCACTAAGTACGATACTTAGTTATAACAATAAAGCTGTTCATTTTTTCTCTTTCCTCAGACATTGTCGGCTGACGTGGCGGAGAGAGAAAATGCAATTTTAATGTACGACTGGTCGTACTTAGTGAAAAAATGGTAGCTGTAGACAACCTTATATAAAGTGGCTACAGAAATATTTTTTCCATATATATATAAAGGAGGAATATTTTTTATATTGTACAAGGTAATATTTCTCTTGTATTTTCATAAAAATGTATGAAATTTATATTATTACTTTTTCTCTCTCTTCTCTTTATATAATATTATATTGTTCCATATAATTTTTATGTGTATATAAAAAATAAAATTATCTCTTATACTAAAATAAATATTAATCCCTATATATAAACGCCAAAACAAAAGGATTCAAAAGACTGCAAGCAGGCGAGTAAGTTCTCTATAATATCATTCACCAAAAAAAAAAATGGTTCTCTATAATAAGGAAGGAAAAATGTTTGACTTTTAAAAATATAAATTTGTGTTACTTTAAGTAAAATTATTATATTATTATATTTTTTACTTTTTTCTTCTTCATATAATTAGAAGAAGAGAGAAAATAAAAATATTGTGGAGGAGAGAGGATAGGTAAAAAATTATAAAAATATAATAATTTCATGACACAAATTTATTTCCTTAAAAATAAGGAACGCTTTTTTCCTATTTGTAAATCGCCTAATTAATATTAGGAAATGTGATTATTGATAGTGCGTAAGGAATCAAGAAATAAAGAGAAAGAAAATATATAATTATAATATAAAGAAATTAAACGCTCATCATTAGTATTATGAATGGGTTAATGCCACTTTTTTTTTTATCTATTTATACTATCTCGTAATTACTTTTAAATTTTATTTTCTTATTTATATTTAAGTAATTTTAAAGTCAAACATATTTTTATTTATACCATTTTATATTAGGGTAAATGATTTCTTCGATCTATGAAGATAAATTATCTCTGATAAATTTAAAACTACATTGTTTTGGATGAAAAATATTATAATTTTTTAATTTTATAATCATAAGATGAAGTCATTTTAAATTTATTGAAAATAACCGGATAGGAGAAATATTGTCTATTTATATCTGGATTCTCTCCTATCCATTCTGAAGCTCTTTTTCCTCTCTTCGATAGAACCGTTATGTTACAGGCACGATCTTACTCCAAAGTGAGAAAATCTTGGCGCGAAATATGAAAGCGGTGCTGATTGTCGGTACTATATTTGCATTGGTTGTTAGCATATGTGTTTTCCTAGGGACGTGGAGCATTTTCCATGCTGCTATTACTATCATTTATGGTACCACCACCGGGAGAAGGTATTTAGTGTCTCTCGACTATGGTGGTCCTTTTTCAAAATAAAAAAAAAAAGCCGGAGAGGAAAAAAATAAAAAAGAGAAGGGTAGAAATGAAAGAAAATCTTTCATTTATAGAAAAGGGATCACTGAATAAATGGTGGACTTGGAGCATATTAAATTTTTCCCACCACCGGACCCCTATTACTTCTCCCTATTTATTATTCTCTATTAGATCTTCAGGCGAGTTGGCTCCCTCCGATATCCCCACGAGCTTCGACTCTTTGAGCCGGCTATGGAACTAATCCGGAGTGCGGGGATTAGTAATGACTAAAGGTTCAGCCTCCTCTCCAAGAATGCATTCAGCAGGAATCGAACACATATCCAACCCTACTAACTCAGTGCCAAGTTACCAACTGAGCTGCACTCCATTAGATCTTTCTTCCGTGTTTTAATTTTACTTTTAAAATAAAATGGAGTAATTCTTTCTAACGTATGTACATACATCACTAAAATTCAAATTATTATTTGATATGTGTAACATGTTAGGGTGTTTATGAATCAATTAAATTCAATTCAAATTTAAAAAAAAGTGAATCGAAAATAAAATCTAGATAAACTGATAAAAAAAAAATATATATTTTTTAATTTGATTGGTTCGATTTCAATTCTTATTTAAGTATTCAGTGCTATAAAGGTTTTTTTAATAAAAGAATTGTAAGCGGGAGGATAAGTGTGGCTTTGAGCTGCACTCATGAAAGCCATAGATATATCAATCAGGATAGCCAACAAAATTCCGACAGATCATCCGGTTCAATCGAGAATATCTTTAATGTTATTCGACATATTTTTCACGTGACACGTATTTTATTTTTATTATATTATAAATAAATAAAAATTAGATGAAAGAATATTTTGATAAAAAATAAGGGGTTGCATTTTCTCATGTAACATGAGAGCACCTTTTCTCCTACACACACACAATCAAGTGGGCCTACTAGTTTAAATAAAAAAAAATGAAAAAAAATATTAACACGAAAATCGAGCTCTCGCTAACATAAGAGACGATTATCCCACAACATTAGATTTATTTATCCGAAAAAATAAAACACTTATCACAGTACGAACGAAAGATACACCAAAAACACTGATTTTTTTTTCCTTTTCAACAAGACAAACACAGTTTTCTTTTCAGCACCAGATTTTTTAACCGACACTACTACCAGATTTTTTTTCCCCCTTCTCTATTTTTTATTTATTTTTTAATTGCATTATAGAAACAAATCATTGGAACGTGGAAACTTCGCTTCACCCTCTCTCTCTCTCTCATACACACTCAGCCACAGTAAACACAAGTGTGGCTGTTCTCTTTTGTTTATGCATTCTTTATAAATAGCGACGAAGTGCTACCATTAAGATTCCCCCTCCTCTCGCTCCTAATTCTCCCTTTCTCTTCACTCTTTTTCTTGGCAGAAAGAGAGTGATAACACATATTAATTATAGTATTAGCACTTGATTAATCTGCATCCTATAATCCTCTCTTTCTCCGTCCATTCAACTTCGTGTTACAAACTAACAAACATATAGTTCCCTATTACTATGGGTCTGTTCTTATGTCACCGACATTATTCTTCTCAAGCGTTATTGGGTTTCGTACTCTTCCTCGTTTTCCAAGGTTAATTTCGGCTTTTTTTTAATAAAATGGGCCTTTCAGTTATTTTTAAAAAATGGAGAACTCGTATATAAGATTAACGAAACTAACTCAGATTTCCCAATGTTCAGGGGTTTCAGGGGCAACATTTACCTTCACGAACAAGTGCGATTTCACAGTATGGCCAGGAATTTTGGGAAAACCAGACCTCGGAAGCACAGGCTTTGAGCTCACAAAGGGAAGTTCCAGAAGCTTCCAGGCCCCAACCGGTTGGTCCGGTAGATTCTGGGCAAGAACCGGTTGCCAATTCGACGATTCAGGCAACGGAACTTGCGCCACCGCCGACTGTGGCTCCGGACAGATAAACTGCAACGGCGCCGGAGCCTCACCGCCGGCGACACTAGCCGAGTTCACACTCGGCACCGGTTCCATGGACTTCTACGATGTGAGCCTCGTGGACGGTTACAATCTGCCAATGATGGTCGTAGCCAGCGGTGGATCGGGGTCGTGCGCCGCCACCGGTTGCGGTGCGGATCTCAACCGGCGATGCCCGTCGGAATTGAGGGTCGACGGCGGCGACGCCTGTCAGAGTGCTTGTGGCGCGTTTGAGAAACCAGAGTATTGCTGCAATGGCGCGTTCAGCAACCCTTCCACGTGCAAGCCCTCTGTGTACTCACAAATTTTCAAGTCTGCGTGTCCTAAATCCTATAGCTATGCCTATGATGATGCCACTAGCACATTTACGTGTTCAGGAGCTGATTACACAATCACATTTTGTCCTTCTTCTTCCGCAAGGTAATCAAAACCAAACCATGAGGAATTATGTTTGGAGAAAATTTATTTGATGCAATATATAAAAAAAAATGAATTTATACTTTTTATGTAATTTAAGATGTGAATTTTTACAACACACGTGCTCAGGTGAACTTCATTAAAAAAAATAAATAAAAAAATTAAAAATATTGGCATGCAATACGATGTTGCATAAAAATATAAATCCCATAAAAAAATGAGTGGACCTATTAAAGAGAAGAGACAGAGAAAAAAATATATGTCACTTATTTTTTGTGTGTTGGATGGCACAAAATTGTATTTTGATAAACATACTTTCCTAGTTTCCCTAGAATAATAATGTAAATTTTTTTGGTTATAATGTTTTGGGTCAACATTAATTCCTATAAGATGCTTAATGATTGAGATATTGGAATTTGTTCGTTTTTTTTTTTTTTTTGCAGTCTTAAGTCTTCAACGGATTCGTCTCCAAAGGCAACGGATTCAGCATCAGGGTCTGGTTCAGATTCATCGGTTGAGCAATCAGCACTAGCTTCAACTTCGTGGCTAGCTGATATGGCTACAGCTACAGGGTCATCCACCAGAACCCGACCTTTCGTTTATTCAAAGAGTTCTTTTTTGGTGGCTGTTACTTTCATTCTTTTGGTGGCTTAGTTTCTGTGTCCCTTTCACATTGACGTCTCAGCTATATCCTTATCTTCCATTCAGAGAAGCAGCAGATACACTATTGATAACATTAGTGAAGTGTTGAGGACTATTGTGATTGTTAAATTATATGAAAAGGATAAGCATTTTAATCATTTGTCGCATATTTTTCTTATGGTTATGATGAATTCTTTAATTCTGAGCCTTTGTAATTGGAGAGTTTGGTGGAGTGGGGGAATAAGGTGCGTTCTCTGGATTAAAAATGTGAACACAAATTCAAAGATGTCTTTTAAATTAATGAGTACTCGGATTAGTGGGTTTTGAGGCCCATCACCTTTTTGCTCTCTCGGCCTTGGTAGGAATTTGTAGAGTTCTGCAAAAAAAAAATATCAAAAAATTAAATTGAACTATGAACGTGAATTTAAGTGAACTGTTCTTGAAAAAATTGGTTTTTGAAAATTACTTCATGAATTGAACTATCTTTAAAGAACTAATTTAAGAATCGAACCAGTTTCAAACGAATTGAACCGTTTTATCTGTTTGTTTTTTTGATATTTTTATTTTTTTTCTGTTTAGAATATATTTGACTCGAATTGGTTTTGAACTTAATCGAACCGAATCGAATCATTGTTAATTCGAATCGAGTCGAGTCGAATCAATTCAGTTCAGTTTAAAAAAAATTAGTTTAATTTGACTTATGCACACCCTTAAAAATTTGCGATATGAAAGGAGAAAAGGAAATTGAAAGAGTAAAATGTAACCAGTCTCACAATAAAGAAAATTAATGAAGATTTTAAAAACAAAAATAGAAAAGGTCATGCTTGACGACAATTTTTATATTAAAGACGCTCAAGTGTTACCTGGAGTATGATGGTTGGTCTTTTTTATTTATTTTTTAATTTCTTTTGTAATGTTAACTGAAACAAGGGTATAGTATTTTTTTTTTCGGTGAAAAGGGTATAGTATTTTATTAGTAAAATAAAATGACGCCTTAGGGTAATTTATGATCGATCATGAGAAAATGGTGACAAGAATGTCCCAAAAAAAAAAAAAAGTAAGGAAAGAAAATGGTGACAAGATGTATGAAATGTTAAACTCAATTATATGAATCATAGGGAGCGTTTGGTAGAGGAGAAATATTCTTTTATCTAGAAATCACGATTTCTAGAAATATGATGGGAAGATGAGTTTTCTGGGAATATTATCAAAAAGTTGTTTGGTAGACTTAAATATTTTCGAAAATAGTGGGTTAATTTTCTTGATGTTATGTTTAGTTATATTAAATTTTCTCTTGCCATAGAAATCCTAGAATATCACCCCTCGGATGATATTCCTGGATGGCATTTTCAAAAAAAATTACACATAAAATAAAATCTCAGAAAATTTTTAAAAATCTTATACCAAACGTGGGTAAATACGATTACCACTCTCAGTATCCCAGTAATCCTAAAAAAAAAAACTTGTAACAAACACCCCCTTAAAGTTAAACATATAAAGTCCCACTTTTATTTTGTGTCTCTCTAATTATTTGTGAGAAACTCTTATAATTTTGTTCCACTGATCTAAGATAACTATCTTCAACAACATAAACATAAGAAAAATATTTTCCATAAAAGATATTTATGCAGATATTTCTGGGGAATCCAAGGGCTGGACTGGGATAAGGCTTGAAACTTTGGAGAATTTTGAATTGCCATCGTCCACAAAAGGCTAGATGCCAAATTGATTAGTACAGACAAACAGCTGGAAACATGTATGTTCAAACCCCTTTTGTGATGTGTCACGAGGAAGGAAGCTTACGTGTATTCTTTTTATCACAATCAAAAGAAAGATGAAGAAAAGGAGAAAGTGGGAAAAATGAATTGAAAGCTTAAAACCACGATTTTTAGATTGAGACCTGTAAAGCTGGAAGATATTGCAATGATAATTCATCATGAAAAAAAGATTATGGTGTTGATACAAAACGCTCGATTATTGAAAGTGAGTGCAGATAAAAAATATGCATTTTCAGATTTGCATCATAGCATGACTGTTGGATGACGGGTTGCTGTGTAAGTCTGTAAGATACGCCAGCATTCAAAGCTTAATGATGGAGATGTAATTTACATTATTTTAATTAATTTTCATAATTAGTATTTTATTATGAGTCTTAATGATTAGTGTGTTTTAAAAGTATTATTTTGATAGTATTTCAATTTTTTAAATCATTTAAATATTTAAAGTATAAAATATTATATAATTTTCAAAATTTTAAATACTATTGTTTACTAACAATTTTTATTTTAAGTTCTTAGCTAGTATTATCAAAGTATCTAAAATAAGAATACATTTTAAAGGGACAAGTTATAATCATTAATTAAAAAAATTAACAGAGTAAATTTTAACAACTATATGATTTGCTATAAATAAGCATATACTTTATAACAATTTCTACTATTGATTTTTCAATCATAAGTTAAAATAAAAATTCTTTTAACTGCACTCACTTTCAATAATCGAGCATTTTGTATCAACACGTGTTATATCTGACAATCCCGACACTTCAACACGTGTTGTAGATTACGTTCGTTGCATTGCGTTTTTAGTTCTATCAATTAGATTCAATGAATTATGATTAGGGATGTTAATGGATCGAGCCGAGCTTTGGTCTTGAAAGGCTAAGACTGTGTTTAAATGTGTCAAACTGTTCTAGCCTGTAAGCTGTTATGAATATTGTAAAGAACCAATTTAACCCAAAAACTTAAACTGTTAAGTGAAGACCCATCAATGGTATATATATTTTTCTAACACACCCGCTCACACAAGAGTTCACTGGGCATGAAGGGTGGATAATGCACAGGTCCACCTAACTGTACTAAGAAAGTCCACAAGAGAAAATAAGGGTAGTGAGGATTGAACCGTGACACCGAGACTCTGATACCATGTAAAGAATCAATTCAACCTAAAAGCTTAAACTGTTAAGTGAAAGCCCATCAATGATTTATATACTACTCTAACAAATATAATTATCGGCATGTGACCTGGCTTATTTAAAAAAAAAAAGTCTGGCTTAGCTGTTAAAAAAAATAAGACAATAAAAATTTATCCAAACAGAATATACGATAAAAAACACTAATAATTCTACAAAGATTCATAAATTCAATGTATACCTAAACAACATAATATAGAACAAAATCATTTAAAAGCTTGCTTAACGAATAAACTAAAGTAGAATGATGATGGACCACGAAGAGGACGTGCAACTTAGGTTGGGTTTAATAAATTAGTAGTATAAAAAATATAAAATAAAAATAAGAGTTAATATATCATGCCAGCCTGATAGGCTCTAGGGCCGGGCTTTTAAATTGGAGCATGCAGTCTTTTTATTAAATGAGCTTTTACAAGTCCAAATCTATAGTCAACAATAAAAAATGACGGGTCAGACCAAGCCTACACACGCCAGGCCATGCCAACATAGTCAGACCAAAAGCCCCTAACTCTTTTAACACCCTTAATTATGATTATCATTTTATTGAATTTAATATAAATATTTATGATATCTTATGTTTACAAAATTGATGGATATCATAAGTTTAGCTTCATTTTTTGGTTAAATTATTAAATATTAAATTTAATATACACTACATAAATTAAAAATATTATTTAATATCAAAATGTGTCTTAACGTATCAAAATATAACATCTTTTAAAATTAATGTATCGAAGTATTGTGTCTCGGTATAAGATGACCCATTAATGTAAAACAGTCAAATTATAAGGTATCATAGCTAGCAAATTGCTTTTACTGTATCAATTATACACTCCTCTGATATAAAAATAGAGGTTTTCAACCACAAAGTCAAAATTATTACGCGAAACTGGATAGTAGGCATTAGGTGTGAAAATGGACTGAGTTGGGTCAAGCTTTGTCTCGAAAAGTCAAAACTTATGCCAAAAAAATTCAATTTGGCCTGCCCCAAGCCTAGTACGAGTCTAACTGTTAGCCTGACTTGACCTGTTTGTAAAAAAACAAATGGCCTAACCTAACTCGTTAACCTGTTAATTTTTAACTTCCAAGTAAAACTATGAATCAACTTTACAAAATACTCAAAATCTGTTGCTAAACCAAAAATCAATTTTAACGTCCAAACAGAATAATGAATCACAACAAAACTAATCACAATCTGCATTTAAGTCACCTTCAGAAGCAAAATGGTCAAACTAAATAACATATATTTTCTGAGATCCAACAAACAAATCGATATTATGTAAATTAAAATAACTACATGAATCCAACAAACACATCATGATGCTTATAGTAAGTATAACATCTTCCAAGACATTTTAATATATTCATATACACAGTCTAATATGCTGAGCTGTTGATTCCTCCTACATAAAAAATAAAGTCATATTTATATTAAAATATAATAGAATATAATTAAGTTATAAATAATTGCAATTGATTAAATTTATATCTTTTATTTTTTCTTCAAGACATACTTATTTTATTTTATTTTATATAAAATAAATAGTACAATATAAGCCGACATGTAGGCTTATAGGACAGACCTTGTGAAAGTGAGCCTACGGTCTATTTATTAAACAAGCCTTTTCAAAGCCCAAGCCCGGCCTATTTTACGAAATATACTAGGTCAGATATGGCCTAACATAGACCGAGCCGTAAGCTCTTGTAGGCCGGTCCGACCTAGTTTCACCGCTGATAGCATGTTCGATTTTTTTTTTTTTTTTGATAACATTAAGGGGCGAAGCCCCAAACAAAAACAAACAAACAACCAGAAACAAAAAATAACTATCCAGGGTCTATATCCCTACAAGAGGAGATTCCCTGAAGATCGTGATCAAATAACTGAGCAAGGTGAAACGGCATAACTCTATGACTCAAGAATCCAGTATCTTTGTGAAGAGCAGACTTGGCTAACCAATCTGCACAGGAATTAGCTTCTCTTAGAATATGAGAAAGCGTTACCTCCCAATCCTGACCGATGAGTGCTTGTATCTTAGCCACTATACGAGGCTGACGAGCTGCATTGCAATCAACAAGCAAAGAGAATACTTCAGAAGCATCTCCTTCTAGTTCCACCTTCTTAAATTCCAGTTGCCAAATCAATTCCAGACCTTTTAGAGTTCCCCAAAGCTCCGCCATTAAAGGAGTGCAAGCACCAATATGATACTCAAAGCCTTCCAACCAAGAGCCATCATCAGATCTGATAATCCCACCACAAGCAGCCACCTCAGTATTCCTTTCAACTGCCCCATCAATATTAATCTTCACCCAATTTAGCCTTGGAGGTTTCCATAAACTCATACGAGTTGGATGAATGCATGTTCGATTTTTCCGTGTTTGCTTACTGAATAATTAGGATAGACACACCAAAATTTCGATTAACTTCGTTTGCCTACTGATCTATTGTAAACGCAACACGGATACGGGATTGTAATTTGAAAGTCTCTGTATGACTAACATCTTTTATCTTTCCCATTATTGAAACATTTATAACTATAATTATATGAAATTTATACAAAATTATTATAAAATTCATATGTATTATGAATGTGCTTATACCATGAACACTATGTTCATGCAAGTATATCTCATAAACAATTGGACACAGTCATGCTGAAATCCGAGAAAATCCAAAGCTTTTGTTATTACATTCTAAAAGGTGAAATGTACATGAGAGATGATTGAGAAATGCAGTTGCTTTTTATGATCTTGTAGGCACATTTCAAGCACCACTTGTTATCAGATAATGAAATAAAGCTGCAGAGACGCCAAAACTAGGGTGATCTAAATTGCCGTTCCTAAATGGCAATGAGATTCCATTTCCAGCTTTGCTAACAGAAGGGTTGCGAGTGATAGTGATTCTTTCACAAAATTGGGTCTTTTTGGGAGATAAAACCACATGAGCAGTACTAGTACAAAGAAAAGAAACCAATGCACTTTTGGCCCCAATATTAGATGACTTCAGTCCATTTCTCTGTGGTTGTTGTTTTCTTTCTAATTTCAACTTTTACCCAAATGTTTCTTCACGCCAAAGGCAATTGGAAGTAGTTATTTAGAAAGGATGCATAAAAGATATAGGAGGTGAACATAATATTTCGTACATAAGGATGTATAACCAACCAGTATGAAGAAAATAAGAACAAAAAAATAAAGGGAAAAGTGTCTATCATTTAAAATTACACAACTTATATCCTTTCACTCTCACAAAGAGGTGGGACCCACACCTTTATTTTTTTTTTGTCAACTCTCTCTCCTCCTTTATCTATCTCTTTCTCTCTCTTAAAATGACACAACTTTACATCCTTTAAAATTATACACACTTTTCCCAAAAATAAATTATGTTATAGATAAGCTAGCGTTAATTTATGAGAGCCCCTTAGAAATAAAACTAATCCTTACATTCTGTAATTTGGAAAGTTCTTCTATATTAATTGAAGTAGTACCTAGCATGCTATGTACAATCAAGCATGAATATTCTTCTGCTTGGCAAATACACTAGGAATCAGATCTTTATCATGAATACTTCTAATTATAATAGTGGTTTTTTTTTTTTGATAGGCATAGTGATTTTCTTTTTATTAATACGAGTTTAAACGTTTTTATAATATAATTATTGTAAATTTAAATTTTTCTTGTGAGAGACAAAATATGTCGAATGAGATGTCATTGCGTAGATATCGAAAAACTGTGTGGAATCAAATTTTTTTTTATCTAATTCGAATACCCAAGTCAAAGTTATGGACTTACAAAATTTTACGAATAAGCTGTTAACTTTTTGTGCCACATGTCAGTATATAGTGAAACACATCTTCTTGGAGCGTGTCTCTCTCCTAAAACACGCCTTAGTGAGGAGTGTCTCTCTCCATGAGATCATGCCCTCGTGTAAGTGTTTGAGTGTTATATATTTGTAAATACATTTAAAATGATTACATTTCCATAATTTTTTATTAAAAGAATAATATTTAAATTTTTTTGACAGCCATCAGGACATCATATGATTTTAGACATTAACTAAAAAAATTAACCAATCAATAAAAGTAATATTTGCTTCCGTAATAGCTAAGAATACCATGTCATGTCATAAATAATCTCACTGCAATGACAGAGCACATCCAATTACTGTTACAAGAGAAAAGCAAGCATCTATCTTCCGCATGGATTAAATTGCAGTTTAAGCTTTTTGACACTTTGTTTAGCTTCATCCCATTGGTGGATTTTATTTTATTTTCACATGGAAAGCTATCTGAAAGCTTCTTGTTACTTCGAAGCTTCAAGATAAGTAAACTTTTTCTGTCAGTTTCAGTGTATAAACCAGTAGCAAATCCAAAATAACATCACCTTCACAAAATCTAAAAAGTTCACATAAATGATTCATTGAACTTGTTATTCTTTGGTCATACTTGGAGACAACAATATTCAAAAGAGTTTTATCACCGCTAGTGCTAAAATACAGAACTTTTGCTTTCTCTCTTCTTTTCTTGAATGCCAAGACCAAGTGGATTAGAAAAAACTTTTTGAAATCTCGGGGATACTTTCGGGGCTGAAATTTAATTCTTCACCCGATTAAGGTGAACCTTCAAATATGCTTCATATTCATTTAAGCTTGTATGACACAATATGAGAACAGTGCTGTCTACGGACGATGTGACCCCCAAACAATAGATTACGTAAGGTTGGTTCGTAATTGGAGCGTCATGACTAGCACCTCTCGTGGAACTCTTGTCTAGCCCTTGTCTTTATCGATTGTACAAAAAAAATGCCATTGGCATGACATAAACATTTTTCCCATTAACTAAGCAGTTATGGCTATATCACTAGTGGGAACAGCACAGAAGATTTTCGAAGTTTTCACCTTATGATGGGAATGTTGGAAATTCAAATGAGTGATAAGAAAAAAATAGGTTAAGCATGATATATATAAATGAAATTACCCATAAACCAATACCTTAACGTTTTGAACATTATAGAGATGCATACAAGATAGGATCGTTTTTTTTTTTTACCTATAAATCAAATAAATCTAGACAAAAGTCAGAAAGTAAAAGCAACAGAAAGCAACCCATGGGCTATTGGGAAACTTTTTGGCGGTTGGGACTTGGGCCATCTGTATAAAGTTCACCTTAAAATTATATATCTTTATAATTTTCATAATTTAAAACCTAGATTTTACTTTTAATTTTCACAATTCAGACATGTGTACATGTTCTTACTAAATTAATTAATAGGTTACAATAACTTCTACTTATCCTGGTTTTTTTCCTCCTTGAAAATGCTTTTCGGTTGTCGTACTAAACTGTTAGCGGTTTACTAAGTTCCTGATTTTCGAAGTTTTGTCGGGACAATGACCACAATGTCATGCTTTGGCAAAAAAATTACCAGAATGTCACGCGAACAGTAAAATTTCCCAAACTGCCACGCGACATAATTCGCTACACAGTGTAGCGAATTATGTATGCAAGTAATTCGCTACACAGTGTAGCGAAATATGCCATGTCAGAATGCACAGAAACAAAAAGTGTCATGTGTCAGAATTGTTGAAATTCACTACATAGGCTAGCGAATTTCAACAATTTTGACATATGACACTTTTTGGTTCTGACGTGGCATATTTCGCTACACTGTGTAGCGAATTACTTGCATACATAATTCGCTACACTGTGTAGCGAATTATGTCGCGTGGCAGTTTGAGAAATTTTACTGTTCGCGTGGCATTCTGGTAATTTTTTTGTCAAAGCGTGACATTTTGGTCACTGTCCCAATTTTGTCATAGAGGAATTTTCTTTTAATATTTTGCAGATGTATAGTGGCAATAAATATTGATGCTGTATTTAGGCGAACAGCATGAACTCAGACAAGGGAGGTCTCCAACAATAAGTAGAAAGTTCAAATCACATTGTTTGAGAGATCGATATCATATCTTATTCTAAAATCTTAAAGGATTGAATTTCTCATCTTTTCATTTATATGGTCCATACTTACATTATTCATAACTAATTATGATTTAATTACTTATACTTAAATTTCCAACACTTTTTCCTACTTTGAATGTTGGGTATTATTTCTATGTATATAATTTACTGCATGATGAGCTAGAGATTACTTCTAGGCTGTTAAGAAGGAGAGGAGGTTATTCTAGAACAGTTGTTCTTTTGAAAAATAAAGCAACTGCAATTGATTGCAAAAGTTTGTCATTCACTATTTGTTAGACAAAACAGCAAAATGGAATTTTAATGTGGTGCATGAATATATGCAAACAAATCAAGGTTTTATTTGGGAACAGATTTTGGTCTTTCATTAATTAGATATGTTTTACATCTAATCATGGTTCATACAATTTGAAACCTCCCCCTGTATCTTTGACCCCCTGCATTTTTCAACCAGTTATTCTGTAGCCAACCTTTTTCTATGTAGGCTGGCTCAATTTGTGCCTAGGCAGTTGCTAGTTGCCAGTCTTTGTTTGTGGTATTTGCATAATCACCTATAACTTCTAATCTTGTATCTCATATTTCAAAGAAGCAGCATATCATTTATTATTTCATGTTTTAATCATTCTTTTGATTTAGAAATCAAAAATTAATTTTGTGCTCTACATTTTTTTTTCATGAGAATGGGTTAGGGTGGGCTAGAGCCAGCCCATTTAAAGGTAAACCTAAACTATATATATTTTTTAATTTAATAGATTGGTTCATGACAAGTTCTTATGAGCTTTTTAGTCAAATAGACTTTTATCTTATGAACATTTTGATCTTACTCATATGGATTAGGGCTCAATGTAGTGAGCTGAGCCAAATCAACTGCTCCAGCAAGTGTAGAATAATATATGGAATACATACACAAAACGTTTCGAATTTGAGGGCACTTTGGTTAACAGATATTGGCAATCATCTTCTAACCTGAAAGTGTAAAAATCTACCCAAAAAATTTCCTAAGCCTATGTAAAAAAAGTCAAAAGAGAATCATCTCTGTGTTGAACATGGGCGTACTATAGAATTGACAAGGCTTCTCTCTAGGTGGATCTTGGAATAGACATTCTTTGTTCTAATTGTAAGCAACAGGTCCAATGCACATCCCAGAACACAGGCAAAGGCCATAATCACATACACAAGCATGTAACAATGTGCTCCAATGCAAGTGTTTCCCCCTCCAGGCACACTAGTGGCTTCAACATCATAAAGATAACCAGCAATGAGACCAGAAAAGATGAATGAACCAATAGGAAGATTAAGGATGAGGATGTTGTATAATAAGCCATAGTATTTGAGGCCAAATAGCTCTGAAGCTGCTGCTGGTGTTATAGTGAAACGGACTCCATAGCATATTCCCACTAACATTGAACCAATATAAAGTGATCCTGGCAAGGCCATGGCCATTGCAATGTAACCCAGAGCCATCAAAATTTGAGAAGCAGCATTCCAAACTAGCCTTGGTATGGCTGATTTTCTGCAATCATAACATCAAAGTCAATGAAAGAGCTGTTAGAAAGATCCCTTCTGGGGTTTTAACAAAAGGAGTCCTTTATCTTGGAATTGAAGATAGGGTTGTGAACAAACCTGATGTAGTATTCTGAGAGTGAACCAGAAATAATGCGTCCAAAGAAACCCCATATGCTAATGAATGAAATGAATATAGAAACATCAGAGTAACCAAGTGCCAGTCCCATCTGACCCATGTTATTCATCACACAAAGTCCTGTTCCTACGCCAAATAGAAAGGACACAAACAAAACCCAGAAATCAATAGTTTTTACCATTTCAATGATGGTATGCTCCTCCCCTATCATGGGTTTTTGTTTTATTTCAACTTCCTCCACCTTGGTGCCTGCACTCACTTCATTATCCTGCCTCTCTTCCTTTTCTGCTAAATTTTTTTGGGCAAGCAATGGTTCATGAATCTGTTTTTCTTTGTCAAGATTAGACCTTGGTTTGAAGATGACCAAATATAAAGGAACAAGAAGTGGCATGGCTAACAGGATAAGAAGTCCTGCCGTGAAAACCAAGGAAAGAACATGGCCATGAGGTCCACTGATGTCAAAGGCCAAGAGGTAAACAGCTACTGCAACTGCAATCAAGTTGAATATATTGAAGAATTGAGTTTCTTGATTCTCTTCTGCATAAGTGGAAGCTGGTGGGGATTCATGAAGGAAAAGAGCAGCAATAATGCAAATAACAGCAGGAACAATGGTAAGCATTAGTAGAAACATAGAGGGGTCTGAGGAAAACATAGCAGTGCATATATCTGTGAAGATTGCTGTGCTGAGTCCCACATAACCCTTGAGAATACCAGAAATCGGGCCACGATTTTGTGGAAAATTCCTCATACAAGTCACAAGCACTGCGGTGTTCATCCAGGTTGAGCTGTTGCCCCCCATACACATGAATATACACATCTACAACACAGTTACAAAATCATTCTCTAAGAATGCGAAGGAATCAAACAAATTGAAATTTATAGTGGAAATTGCTTTATTCATCTACCCCGTTGACTTTTGTCTTAAAACTAGATTTGGAATAGTAATGAACTGAATATTCTATTATGAGAAGAAAGGTATAATTACCAGCCAATAAGGGAGTGGACTGATTCTCTGGCTGACAACAAGCCATTGAACTCCATAGCCTATGAATCCCATGATGGCTCCAATCATGAGTATAACTGAAGTTGACCAATTATCAGAGGCAAGACCAGATAAAACACCAAAAGCCTTGCCAACATCTTTAGCAACGGAGAGATTGTTAAGCTGCATCTGGGATAGAGCCATTAGACTCTTCAATACATCGGAATAATTGGCAAAAGTATAATTGTTTCCACAGATTGCTTGAACCCATATGGCTGAGACAAATCCTAACCATTTCCCACCTGCAAACCCAGTGAATAACGACATAATGATTACAACTAGAAAATAGAGAACAACTTTTAAGAACTAGAGAACTTGAATGCTATGAATATGCTTTCGCTTTAAATCTGTCTTTTCAACGGTGTCAGTCATTTGCTATTTATATATGTTCCCTTCATGTATTTGGTCCCGGAATCATATAATAGAAAAATAGAGTGTCATTATGATGAATAACAAATACAATTTCAGTTAAATATATCTTTTTGGAGTTGACGTAGGGGTGGCAATATAGGTATTGACCCGCGGGTTGACCCGTGACACGACCCGTCAAATCACGTGTCGTGTCAACCCGCGGGTCAGGGCGGGTCGTGTCAGGGTTGTGTAAATGTGACCCGTTTTTTTCGTGTCGGGTCACTTGTCAATCCGCGGGTTCGCGTGTCAACCCGCACAGTATCATTTTTTTTATTTTTTAATTAAATATTTTATTATATTATTATTTTTATTCATTTATATATTGATATATATAATCATTGTTTAGTATAGAAAAGAATAGAAGGAACTAAAAATCTCAAAAAACAGAAGCTAATCTTTTTTTTTATTGTTTTTAATTTATTTATTTTTCAAAAAATCCCACTTTTTTTAAATTTTAAATTTTACGGGTCGTGTCGTGTCGACCCGTGACCCGCAACGGGTCGTGTCAGAGTTCGTGTTTTGTGACCCGTTTACAAACGGGTCGTGTCAGGATCGTGTCAAATAGTGTACGGGTCGAAAACGTGTCGTGTCGGGTTGACCCGTATTGCCACCCCTATAATATGTTGACGGTGATAGGCCACGGTTTTATTTCTTGAATAGCATATCACTCGTTAGATTGTTAGGACTTAGAACATGGCTTTTTATTTCGTGTGATGCATTGCAAATGTGAACTGATCTTTTTTTTTTTGTGCGAATTTCCAAATTAAAGCTCCAATGAAGTTTAACTAAATCTTATTATATAAACTTTGGCTCTAACCAAGAGTTTTAACTCGGCCCAAGACAAGATTTTGAAATGCGAGTGATGTCCTCTTAAGTGCGAATAAATCTTTGCTATTATTATTGTACCAAAGATTCATGCATCATACCAATAAAAATATTATATGTCAGCAAAAATATTTTTTTTTCTATCAAATTTTTTTTTCTCTCATTTAATGTGTAAGGCTCTCATTCATGGGATGTCTTGCCACGTCAAATTTTGTAGAGGTCTTTTTCAACGTGGCAATGGACCCCTTTGCGGGGACTGACAAAGAGAGTTTTGTTGCTTGGTAAATTAATAAATTTAGTTGACAATTATACCTAACAATCATAATAAATTTACCAAGTGGAACACTTATACCAGGGTGCGTTTGTCAGTGGTATTAGCATACACAATACCACTATCAAAACTGGGTGAACCCCCTGAATGAAGGCAGGCACCTATATTTTTCCATTTTAGTCACCAAAAAAATATATCTACAAGTCACATATGATAAATTGAAGAATAAATAAAACATCTTACAATGTTAATCACTAAAATAAAAAAGTACTCCATATCACTCTTGTAGTAGAAACAATATTTAGCAATTTGATGTAATTGTACATACACAGATTATTAAATGTTGCTTAACAATGTTAATTAACACCGTAACATAAACCGTGTCGGTGTTACATCATAGTGAAAAGTGAAAACCCAAAAAGTGCAGATTTCCTTTCTCATGTAGCTGGACTCAGGCGTGTCACCAAACCCATCTACCGAAAGTGTCTCGTTCTCAAACAGCTACGTATATATACCATTAGCGGTGCAGTAACAGTACCAATGTATTTTTCCTCATATCTTTATTCAACTGTTTTTCTTTTAAACCAAGCAGCACAGCCCCTAGATAGAGACTTGACCAGCCAAATCCACATGCTTGCTAGCTTCATATAAATAGCGTGCTTGAGCATGTGTTTTATTCGATTTGAACGCTTTGACAAAATTCTATTCTACACATTTGCATTCAAGCTTAGCTTTGCTTACCATACCACATGGCTGTTTCTGTGGCCTTGTTACCTCGTTGGTTGTCTTTTCTTCTTCTTTTTGTCTTTGGTAGCTTAGGAGCAAAGGTTGTCACCATTGATGTACATGCAGTCAAGGGTCTGATCCAGACCGGCTACGTTTATCTGGATGTTAGGTAACGAATAATAATTTTTTGGGGGGTCTTTAAAAAATATTAAGGAACTTTATTTTATTTTATTTTTTTCCTTTCTAATCCGAGTCTCTTTGTATTTTATATGGTTTTTAATGTTTGATAGTGTTTGTTTCTTCAAAAAAGAATATAATTCTTTTTTTTTTTTGTAATTAATAGGACGGTGCAAGAGTTCGAGAAAGGGCACGTGGATGCAGATAAGATCATTAACATTCCATACATGTTGGATACATCCAAGGGTAGGAAACTTTTTAATATCTCATAAGTTTTGGGATACATCTATCTTTGTTTATCATTATGTTATGATTACAAATTCTATGGTTATAATGTATAACATCTTTTGATTTTGGAGAGCAGGCAAGGTGAAGAACCCAGACTTTCTGAAGGAGGTTTCATCTGCTTGCAACAAAGAAGATCATCTCATTGTGGTAAGTGGTAACCATTATTTTCTTGGTTACTTACCATTTTCATTTCTTTCCCTTCAAAGTACAAACTACAGTTTCTACCTGTCCTTGGTTAATCCTTGTTAAAGCCAAATTTCTTATCTCTTATATGAAATCTGCATTTCAGGGTTGCCAAAGTGGGGTGAGATCTCTGTATGCAACTGCTGATCTTCTGGCTGATGTAAGTTAACTCATGTCAACTTTAGTATATTCTTCAAGATATTGAAAACGAATTTCATCACTCATTTAATAAAAACCATTGGAAGTCATCAATTGTTCATTTGGATATGAAATTCTTGTTCCTCTGCATACTTATTTATCTTAATTCAGTCTCAAATTCAAATATCTGAACAATAGTCTAGCCATTATTCTTGTAATGTAACTTATTATGCTTTCCTTTTTTACTTATTCTGGTTTGCTATGTGCCACGCAGTTTATGAGAAGACTAACTTGTGTTGATTTGATTTAATTGGTAGGGTTTTAAGAATGTAAACGACATGGGAGGAGGTTATCAAGACTGGGTTAAGAACAGGTTTCCAGTTAAAACACCAGTAGCCGAAGAGGAGCTATAATCAGTTATAGTAGGATCATTCATCTTTCTTTCTTAATGGTTTCATCACGGAGATACCGCATCCATCCATATGTACCAACTTCAGAGAGTTCATGAGTTCTACTTATTAGATATTGGGAAGCTATGTTTCCAATTGTATCTATTGGAAGTGCATATACACAAAGATTATCTGGGGTAGCCATTCAGAACAGTCTCGTTAATTAGTCTTCTTGTTCATGTGCATAAAAGACAGACTTATGATCTGATTATCTTGATATTTAACTGAAGAAAAACGAAATTGGACTTTTATAAAGGTCGTTGACTCATTTCATTTATTGTCTACAAGTTCTGTGTCCATTGTAATCTATGGCATTTACTGGCCTTGCTAGAATTTGTTATGATTGCCTTGCTGGCAAAGTTTTTGTTGAATAAAGTTTTCTATTAGTGGTTCAAAAATAAAGCAAAACATCAAAAGTTTGTATCCCCCCCCCCCCCCCCCCCCCCCCTCCCTTAGAAATTGCAACTTTTTTCTTTTCTCAAATCAATAAATGAATACACGGTAGTCCAACCCCTATTCAATTGTGAAATATATGATTAACTCAACTTACATATCTTATCATAAATTCTACTGCTATTAATCACCATTGCTAAAAGGAAAGAGGGTCCATAATCTTCACGTAATTTGGTATACTCTTTGGCTCTATTTGGGTCCATTAATGATACATTATGGTTTATTAGGAATCTGTCTTTCTTCCTTTTCCCTTTCCCCCCACACTGAAGATAATGATTTACATGTGGAGTGAGATTAAGTAAGCTGAAAAATTATCTTCCAAGAGTCCTGGTCAAACTTTCTTAAGCCCATGTTGTATCTATGGCATGAATATTGGTGAAAAAGACAAGTTAACCGTACCTGAGTTGGTTGGGAGATCAGTTAATGGGACCATTATGCCCAACTGGTTCGTGGCAGCACATGCATGTGCTTATTAATATTTTGAGGAGACGGTCTCAACATATTGCCACAGCAAAAAGCCACCACCTACTACATCTCCACATTAATGGCCAAAACTATGTTCTGCATTGAAGAGACCATACATACAGTAGGTCTATTTTGTTCATCTTATGACAGCAAATAAAAGTCCCACAGAAGCACATAATTTTCATGACAGTGTGTGTTGTTTTGAGGAAGGATAGTTGTCATGGAGCGAGAAAAGGGCGAAGGAAGATCCTTGGCTGAAACCCCCACTTGGGCTGTAGCAACTGTGATCACTCTCTTGGTTTCTTTTAGTTTCTTGTCTAATGGCATATTAAAAAAATTGGAAAAGGTACATAAGTATATGCTTTATTTTCTCTCCTTCAAATTTCTCTCATTCATAGGTTTCTTATTCATTGTATAATGTCACAGTTTTTGGACAGAACTAAGAGAAAATCTCTGCTTTCCGCTCTGGAAAAGATCAAAGAAGGTAGGGAGTTGTAACCCCAAACGAGTTCCATTATCATTTTTTTTGTTTTGTTTTATATATATATACACGTTTGGATGAGTAGAACTTACTACTTTGAAATTTTTGTATCTATTTCAAGCAGAACTAATGCTTTTTGGGCTTCTGTCATTGCTGATGGGTCATTGGATTATTTTTGTGGCAAAGATTTGCGTTAAGTCATCAGTTTTAAGCAGCAAATTTTTTCCGTGTGCAATGGAAAACAATTCTGGCACAATGGAACGTATTGTCTGGTCGAATTCAGAATATTCAAATAAAACAGTTCTCAAAGACCAAGTGAACACTGGCCTGCATAATTATTGTGCTGAGGTAGTTTTCCTATCCCTTCTTGTTCATGTCCAAAGTGTTTCAATCTTTGTTTGGTAATGCAAGTAAACTAATTATTCTCAGTGGTTCGCTTCTGATAAATAGTTCTATTTAAAGTGAACTTCACAGGTACACATTTCACTGAAAACTTGTCACTTGCTTCACAGGGTCACCAATCATTGGCTTCTTATGAAAGCCTTGAGCAGCTTCATCGCTTTGTGTTTGTTCTTGGGGTTACCCATGTTTCCTATAGCCTTGTTGCTGTTGCCCTGGCCATCATCAAGGTTTAAATAGTCATGATCAAACTTTCTTTTTATTCTAACTTTGGTAGTCAGACACTAATTTTCTTATTTTAGAGTTTATTCAGATATATAGCTGGAGAACTTGGGAATATGAAGCGAAGACTATAGCTATACAAAGTATACAAGGTTCTGAGTATCTGATAACTGCAATGAGCCAGTAATTAGTTTATTTTGCAATACATTAATTTTGATCTCTTTTAAATTATAATTGTTTTTTATTAAATTGTCCAAGTTTAGATACTTCACAAAATACATCAAGCATAAGATTGAGGCGGCTTGGTACATTCATCTTTCACCAGACATCCCATCCTTGGAGTCATCACAAAATTCTTGTTTGGCTGGTACTCTACGTAGTCTTTTTTGTTTTGTTTTATTTTGTCCTCACGTGTAAGGTCTTTGAAAATGCCTGAAATGTTGCATCTATTCATGATGGTTTATCATTACATGTTGTTCTTATTTCATTGTTGGAACCAAAAAATTATGGTATGGATCAATTCTATCAATCATATCTTAATTGCAAAAGGAACAATTCAATCCAAATGTATTTCTTTTCTAGATATAGTTGTAGTTCAACTATGTTAACTGCTTAATTAAAATTTCTTCCCCCTTGCCCCTTCCCCCTCAACATGTGCTGTAAGGATAGTTCCAACCACAGAAGTATGCCAATGTACTGTGTGCTTGACTGCTTGCCATCATTTTTCTCCTGCATAAGCTTTTTAATGGCAGCATGTTGCTGAACGAAAAATGGGATACTTTTTCTTCATTTAATGTTTCTTGGCACTTTAAGTAGCTTTTTTCCTTGTCTTCTTGGAATACTGATGAACCTATATTGCAGTTATGTTTCAGCCGCCAATTATGGAGTTCCATAAACCGAGCTGATTACATGGCATTGCGCTTAGGCTTCATTACCGTGAGTAATTTTTATGACAATATAACTGTACTTCCATCAAATGTAAAGATGTATCTTATAAGCACTAAGTCCATAGTTTTCAACTGAATGATGCAACATCAAGTTGATGGAGGAAATTAATGGAGATGTTGGATTCCCTCACTGTAGTAAATGTTAAATTTTTTGTACAATCCCATCTAACTGAAAACAAAGAGAAAGGAAAGATCGTGACTCATGAGATATGAGTGGAAAAGTACAACCTCTTTAGCCTGCTTTCTCATTGTGCAAAAGGAATGTGGAAGTGAAGATGACAAACTTAGTTTGCTAGCTAATATTTCTACATTTTCTTCTTCTTTTTCTGGTGTTCTATAGAATCATGAGCTTCCCCTAACATACGATTTCCACAACTATATGCTTCGAAGCATGGAAGAGGAATTTCGTGACATCGTTGGTCTTAGGTACTCTTTCTTTGCTTTATTTAGTTAACATAATTTGTTACCGTAAGACTAAATAGACTTTCACAATGTACTCTAAAATAGTCATCAGATTTTATATGGCTAACTTTATTTTTCCACCTTTTTTATTTTAGCGTTACTTTCTGTTCTGATTCTTGAAAATGAATTTGATAGCTTCATCTGGACTTGTTTTACAGTGTGCCTCTCTGGATATATGCCATATGCTGTATTTTTCTTAATTTTCATGGTAAGTTTATGTGAATTTTAAATTAAGGTAAGAAGTATTTTATTCAGTTATGATCTTCATCAACTTGATCAAATCATCTGTTTTAGCTAGGTTAATTCAGCTATAAAAAGTTCAAAATGTCTGAAGTCTGTACAGTGCAGAATGTGATGATATTTTTTTTATTTTATTTTTTGTAATAAGAATCTGTTGATTTTGGTAAATGCATATTTGGATAGAGGATAGAACGTAGAACTTTAGCAGTTGCCAGGTCTTTTAGCTTGGGCAACCCTTCTGAGTGAAACTGTAGGAATATATATTATATTATCATCATATCATGGGAAGAGGTACAAGCAGAAATCAAATGCATCATAATGTTTTTTTATCTACTTTTGGTAAGCATTTTCTTCCTTGAATTAGGACAAAAAATTCAGTGAGAGTTATCGCTAGAAATAATATCTTGATAGCTACATCTCTATAAAGATGGGGTGCAATTTCCTGATAATGTGGTGAATGGTGATAACGGATAATAGCAACTATATTTTGCGGAGGCCTCACAATAATGATGAAAATATCAATTTAATTTTGGACTAGTAAACATGCATATAGTCTCGCATTAACATTGGCACATAGTGTTCTGTTTCTGAAATATTATGCTAGTTTTATTCGTGGACCTAGTCTGAAATTAAACTCCATAATTTTCATTCAGGAAGCAACTTTTACTTTTGGCTTTCCTTCGTTCCAACAATTGTAAGTCTTAACGACGTTTACTGTGGCTTTTTCACTTGCCTTCTATTAGTAGTTACACTTCACTAATGGTTTTTCTTGTATTGAATTGCATTATAGTTGATCCTCATAATTGGTACTAAATTGCATCGAGTGGTGGTAAAGTTAGCTGTTGAAATAATAGATCGTTGCCCACATATGAAACATAATCAGTTTAACTTAAGAGATGAGCTCTTTTGGTTTAGAAAGCCAAGGCTTTTGTTGCGGTTAATACAATTGATATCCTTCTTGGTAAGTAACATTGGGTTTTCATTTTACATTTCATTGCACATAAACTTCTTTTAATTTCTTTTTCCCTTTTGTTATCTTGCAGAATGCGTTTGAAATGGCAACATTCCTATGGTCCCTGGTAAGAAACTGTCATTGCTTTTGTTATTGCTTTTCCTTTGTGAAGTGGATATTTGCATAATGTTTAATTATTGGCGTTATTTTGGGTTCAGTGGGAAATTAAAGAACCTTCTTGCTTCATGAACAACCGAACGTTTATTGTGATCCGTTTGTCATTCGGGTATACTTTAGTTTTTATCAATGTTGTTCCTTCTCTTTGTACCATTTAAATTGAATCACAATTCAACCAAAATCATATCTACTTTTTCTCTTTGTTGTTACAGGGTCATCTCTCAAGTCTGGTGCAGCTTTATAACTTTTCCTCTCTATGTTATCATCACACAGGTCGAGTTTCTTCAGTAATTTAAACATTTGTTGGTGATAGTTATTCCTAAACTCTAGTTCCTCTCTTACACAAGCACATGTGCAATTACACTCACTCAGTCACACATTTAATCTCTCTCTCAAGACTTTGGTTATATCATATGAATGCAGATGGGCTCAAAGTTCAAGAAATCTGTGGTCTCTGAAAATGTAAGAAAATCACTCTCTAAATGGCAGAGAAGAGTGAAGGATAGACAAAGTTCCTCTTCTCCACTCCTTACTGCAACATCAACAACATCATCGAATTCTAGTGCCTTAATCACTGAGGAAGGAAGTTCCTCAGGAAGTAAAGATATTTGTCTCTCTCATCTTGATGACGTGTCAATGATCCAAAGAAATGCACCATTTTCAAGATATGAAGAAGATCATCATGATCATGATCATGATCTAAAAGATAATTCATCTCCACCTCCCCTGTCTTGAGATTGCTTTGCTTGTGTTGTATACAGTTTGATGAATTAACTTCGAATACATTTTCTTTTATAGAAAAAAGTTATATTTATAAAATTTTTGTTTACAAACTCTTATAAATTATACTATGTCTAACCGGTAATACACACACTCTTGAGTAGAGTATTACCGATCAGAGACATAGTTTAATTTATAAGTTTGTAAAAAAAAAATTTGTCAATATAATTACTCTTTTTTATAACTTTCTGTCACATTATTTAGTGCATTGCAAACCTGTATCATCTCTACTCAGACTCAGCTCAATCATTTAAGTTCGATGGTACATCACTTCACATATTAAATGATAATAACGTGAAAAGTTCACGTTGTTAAAAGATATAACATGTATATAGTTTTAAGTCGTAACCTAAAATTTAGGGGACAAAAAGAGACATATGCATGTGTTCAGAAAAAAAAAACAATTTTTAATTACGTATTGGCATAATAATATTTTCTCTTTTATAAATCTAAAATTTGAAATGTGGAAAAAAAATGAGCTAGGTTTCTAAAATTTGAAAAAATATGTGTTAAGTTATAAATCTTTATGGTTTATTCAAGATGGAGAAATATTGTAGAGAAAAATATTAAACCTTTGCAAAAGGAAAAATTAAATATCAATCTTAAGTTTGTGTAATTTTTATAATGTGAGGGGACAATTAATAGATGAAGTTTATATAAGACGTTATGATAAAATCACTTTTCAAAATTTTTTCTCTTAATTTGTGGTGACGTACCAAACTGACTCAATAGAGTTTCTCCTTTAATAATAATAATAATAATAATAATAATAATTATTATTATTATTATTATTATTATTATTTTCTAGTTGCTAATGATAAATTATTATTTTTTGGTAAATGCTAATAAGAAATTTTTATTATAATGAAAAAATACTCGTATTATTGGACTTGGACATTTTATTATCTCTTTTAAAATGTTAGAAGGAGAAGGATGCAATAATGCATGTTGAGAAACAATATAAATATAAGGGAAAAGTTTAACAATGTTCTTGTGGTTTGTTTCAGAATTACCTATATCTCTGTGATTTTTTATTTTTTACAAAGCACAAGGGCATATGTAATAAAAAAAAACTACAGAGGCATATATGATTTTGAAGCAAACTATAGGGGCATTGGTGATTCTGAAGCAAACTAGAAGGGACGTTTGGTAAAAGAGATATTTTTTTTTACCAGGTAAATGCAATTACTAGTAATATGGTAGGAAAGTGAGTTAGGTAGGAAAGTTAAAAAAAAACCTATTTGGTTGGCAAAAATTTTACCAGAAAAATTGGGTTAAATATTGTGAGTCTTTGTTTGGTTAAGGGTGAAATAATGATGGGTAAATATGTTAAAATACCAAAAATAACCCCTGATTTAATTTTTGAATCTGAAGATGGGTTAAAACACATCCGTGAGTAACCGTCGACGGATAATAAACACACAAAAGTAAGACTATCTTGACCGACATTGAAAGACAAAAAATGGTAAAAGGCATTCAGCTCAGCGACTTATGTCTACTGGTATACATCACTCTCAAAACATATCCTTACTATAATTTTCTTTTGCAGGGAGTTGCAAGCACTGATGGTACGTTTCTCAAACCACCAAACTGAGCAAGCAACTAGTATACACCACCAATCGAGGGTCAGTAGTAGAGGGTTAGAGGAGGGTTAATATTCGAAGTTTCAGAGATGTAAACGTGTACAACAGCCGAAGGTAATACGGTAACGAGTTCCTTCATCTTTTTTGGATTGCCTAGCCTTTACTAAAAGTACCACACTTACATTGGTCAATGCTACAGTGATTTCCCTATCGTTTTGCACATGATTGTGGAAGGATTGGGAAAGGAGAAGCATGGCACAATTTTTCGATTCTGTCTACCAAACAAAGGAATCCTTGAATGCCAATTACATTTGGATGGGGAACCAAATTAAAAGCCTTAACCAAACGCCCCTTAGGGGCATTGGTAAACTTTTCCTTATATATAATAACATCACATAAACAATTGAGTAATATGATATTTCTTTGTGTTGTTAGTTTGATGGCTGATGTATTGTATTAAAAAAGTTATGCTATCCCTTGTTTAATACACATAAATACTGTAAAATAACACGAGATTTATTATAATTTTTTTTTGATATGCAATAATAGAATTAGAAAAATAAAGGGACAACGGTTATTTATTTATTTTTAACTATTTATATCGTGGACAAAATTTTGTCACTTAATTTAATAAATATTTAAAAAATTATAATTCAGTGTGGTTTCTTGAACTGTGTTTTTACTCAGTATTTAAATTATTTAATAAATCAAATCAAATACAATTGTTTTTAATATTATGATGTCTTTTAATTTTTTTTTGACAGATTAAATAGATTTTAAAAAATTAACAGGCTTAAGTTTGGGAACCGGCCCACTAATTTAGGCCCAATCATTTATAAAGCTCTTTCTTGCATCAAGGCTTGTTTTGTGTGATGTATAAGTTATTTGGTGTGATTATCGTATAGTAAAATCTATCTCAAAAACAACATATTTTTTAGCTTTTTTTTGAGAAAATTTGAAAGTTTAAAAAGTGATTTTTCAAGCTATGAGTCATGATTTTTCAATCAATACATTAATTTTTCCTGGCACAAAAAGATTTGATTTTTGTATTAAAAATAACATAAAATAGTGAAAAAATAACACGGAAACTAAAACCCTCAAACCAATTTTTGTTTTACATCAATGAAACAATATCAATGTAAAGAAAGATTCAAACTTACATAATATGAACCCTATATTTTGTAACAATACATTCATGAACGAAATTCATTCACTATAGGAAACGATTTCAAACAATTTTTGTGTCAATAGATAACTAAAAACTTATTTTTCAAAAGCCCAAAAATAATTTTAGGTTTCAATGTATTGATTGAAAAAAATTTGAGAAATTTTCTAAATGTTCATGTAATAAAATCCAAATATTCATATTCGAAATTTTTTTAGAATATTCAATGAAAATATGCATATGATATATGGTTAGAAAACTATCATAAGGTAGAACAAAAACCCCAAGATTTTCAAGATCAATTCCAAAAAATCCTAAACAAAATTTTATCATGAACTTTAGGTTCTATATGCAAATTTAGAATTATTTTAATAATTAAAAAAATTGAGTAATCATATATGCATAGCTTTGATACCAAATGTAGAATATAATTTCACCTCATTGGTCAAACCAAAAGCAGGAACGAAAAAATACTAATGCATGAAGAACTAATATAACTTTAGACATGTGAAAAGTTGTTGTTTAATAATTTTGAATGTTTGTTAAAAATTGTATTATGTTTTACTCATTGAGAAAATTATATTAGGTTTTATTTTTATTTATTAATTTTATTGCATTTCTTTGTTATTTTATTTTTTGTGAGGAAGGTTATACTTACAACCTATTTTTGTTTAGAACATTTTACAACCATATCTTAACCGTTGATTTTCGACAATCAACGATTATTATTTTCACAAATAAAACTCATTAACTAATATTTAATTTGCAATGAATGATAACCGTTGATTGACAAAAATCAATGGTTAAAATATGTTTGTAAAATGTTATAAACAAAAGTATAACCTTCCCTTTTTTATTAACTCTTGTAATTTTAAATATTTATTAAAAATTCATATGGTTTTTAAAATCTTATAAATTCATATTATCCTTTTAAATCTTATAAATTATATTAAAATTCTTTAAAATCCAATCTTAGGAAATCTTGATCGTAAAAAAAGTCTTTTAAATTTTTTTTAAAGCCTCTCCAATTCTAAATAGTCTTTTAAAATTTATAAGATTTTTTACCTCAAAAAATATCTTTTAAAATCTTAATCCAATACATCCTCCTAAGTTTATATAGCAGTCTCTTAATACATTAAAATAATGTATAACTTAATCAAGCCTAAGAGAGTGAGATTATGCCTGATAAAGAATTAATTATAATGTATTAACATCTAGATGATGCAATTATCAAGAATTAATATATTATTTTAATATCAAAATATTAAAATAAAAAATAATTTAATTTTTAAAATATTATAAATTTTTATTTTATAAAATTAATATATTTTGTGAACACACTAATCAATAGATTTTTATAAAAGTTAATATCATATTTGAAAGAATTATATAAATTATTTATTAAAGGATACTTTTATTAAAAATATTTATTTTCATCTTATCTAATATTATATAATATATTATCAAATATTGAATTATATTATCTTATACAATATATTACTTTATATAATATCATATCAAACCATAAATAATATTAAAATTTAATCAATCTTATATAATCTAAAGATATTATATTATAGGTCATATCCTATATTATATACGGGAAAAAGTATATAATGTTACTTTAGATAACTTTATCTAATGTTCATCAAAATGATGTTGTTTTGAAGTTAAAAATTAAAAAATTAGAATGATAAAGACTATTGTAACTCTGAAATAAATTAAAATTACAAAAACACCATAATTTTCATCCCAAAACAACATCGTTTCGATTAACATTAGATAAAAAGTTATTAAAGTAGTTTTAGAAAACAGAAACCAATTATATATTGATAATATTGGTTCAAGAGAATTAAGTACTCGGTTATAGTCACAGGACTCACAGCAGATAAAAAACCCCTAGAGTTCACTACATACGGGTTCCAGAACGAGGTTCCTTCTCTCTCTTTCTCAAACTCGATCTTTCGTTTCGTTTAGCTTCTGAATCTGCAACGATGGTGCTTGAGGTAATCCCTTATTCTCTCCACGTGTTGATTTCAACTAACCATAGCATGCTAATTATTAGGGTTTTTCTTGATGATGTTACGGGAACACTTTTTTCATTGAATTGATTTCTTCAACAGGCGACAATGATTTGTATTGACAATTCTGAATGGATGCGTAACGGCGATTACGCTCCTTCTCGATTTCAAGCTCAAGCAGACGCTGTCAATCTCATTTGCGGTGCTAAAACCCAGGTCAAGTTAAATCATACATTATTCTACTCTTTTACATTGGAAAATTAGTTAGAAATAGAGAAAACTCGGGATATTATGGCTGGATTGGGATAGGGTAAATTAAGTGTTCTATTAATGTTTAGGTTCAGATAATTGCACAGGGTTCATCTGTGCTGACGAATGTGCTTTGATTTTAAATAATACAGTCTAATCCGGAAAATACAGTGGGAGTTCTCACAATGGCTGGGAAGGGCGTTCGTGTTTTGGTCACCCCTACCAGTGATCTGGGCAAGATCTTAGCTTGCATGCATGGTCAGTTTTTATTTTATTTTTTGAATGCTTTACTTGATTCTTTCTTTTTCTTCTTCTTCTTTTTTAGCTGTTCCAAATTTATTATTTAGTCTATGACCTATTGGAAAAGTATTTGGTATGAGTGATAATTCAATTGGCTACCTTATGAAATGGCTATATTTCATATTTAAGTTTTAGTAGTAAAATTAGTGTTTTGTTAATCTCTGCCCTTAGGACATAGGTTAAAAAATGAAAAATAGAAACTGAGATGAAACATACAACTGTACAAGCATTAAATATCTCGAGAATCCTAAAACCATTTAATTCTTTCTTCTTCAAGTAATTAAGATGAATTCTATATGTGATTTTTATTCCTTAACATGTGCCCTAAGACATTGACATAACCTCTAAAATTATGATAAGATTGTGACTAGTCGCCTATAATTTCTTAATGCTGATGTAAAAGGAGATAGGGATAAACAGATTATGCTGAAATTCATGAAAATAATTTTGTTTTGTTTTGTTTTGTTTTTTTAATTGAATTATTGAGCCTCTTTTCTTTTTGGATGTTAGTACCAGCTATTTAAGGTCGCTTTTATAGAGCATGTCTATTGGTGAGGTTGAACTTTCTGCAAAATTATTTCTGAAACGTTGTACATGAATTGGACAAGTTTGCGGCATATCCATCTGCCATGTTGTGTTTTGGGGGATTCTTCTGCTTGTGAAAAGCTTGATTTTATTTTCTTCCTAATTTAGGACTAGAAATAGGTGGTGAGATGAACCTAGCTGCTGGCATTCAGGTGGCACAATTGGCTCTTAAGCATCGGCAAAACAAAAAGCAGCAGCAAAGGATTATTGTCTTTTCTGGAAGGTGTACTTAGTTATATTTCATGCTGTATTCAAATTCTATTATTGTGGTTATTCTGTCTTAACTATCTCAATCAATATTATATAGTCCTGTCAAGCATGAAAAGAAAATGTTGGAGATGATAGGGAGAAAGTTGAAAAAGAATAGTGTAGCACTTGATATTGTCAATTTTGGTGAAGAAGATGAAGGAAAGACAGAGAAGCTTGAAGCACTCCTTGCAGCTGTTAACAATAATGATACCAGCCACATTGTTCATGTCCCATCTGGTCCAAATGCTCTTTCTGATGTACTTATAAGGTTTGTCGGATCAATTTGATCTTGTACTTTTTCTGTATTATCTCTTATTTCTCTCTTAAATATAAGTTCAATGTAAGAATTTGTGATCTAACTTCTGGATATTCATGTAACATTTCTGTGTGGCAGTACACCAATTTTTACTGGTGATGGGGAAGGTGGAAGTGGTTTTGCCGCTGCTGCAGCTGCAGCTGCAGCTGGTGGTGTATCTGGATTTGATTTTGGTGTGGATCCAAACTTGGATCCTGAATTGGCTCTTGCTCTAAGAGTTTCAATGGAAGAGGAGAGAGCCAGGCAGGAAGCAGCAGCAAAAAAAGCTGCAGAGGATGCTGCCAAACAAGAGAAAGGAGGTGAGCAGCAAGCCAGCTCACAAGATGCAACAATGACTGAGCGTGCCAGTGCAGGAACTTCTGAAGCTGAGAATAAGACAAATGATTTGACGGTTGGTGCCTTTGTTGCATTTATCTATGTATTTGTGTTGCATGTTTCGCTCCTTGCACGATTGGAATATAATTATCTAATTGCATATAATAGTTTGTAGAACTAATTTCATAGTTTATTTAGTTCTGGAGTAATTAAATTACAAAGGCATACTAGACTTGAAACATCCAAGGATGATAATGGGTCCAGGGTTACTTAAATTTTCCTGGGAGGTCTATTAAAATCAGTAAGGCTTGCCTTTTGAGACAATCTAGACTGCAATCTTGCCATTATTTGTCCTTTTTAAATTATTTTTCCATACTGCAGTGCTAGCACCAAATTGGTTGTAACCTAGTAACCTACCCGTTCATTAATGTTAATATCTGAAACGGAACCATCTCAAACTCTATCTCAATCTCCTGCGCAGCTCGGCAGCTCCATCAATTTGACAATTTTTGCTCTTTCCACTGTATCACGGTTATTACTACTTTTACCACTGTTATCACTAATGAATCACCATGCCATTGATTTTCTTTCTACCTTTCCTGGAGCTACAACATGATTACTCGCATCCTCACTTCATCATCATAATTGCCTCTGCCCCAATTATGGTGATCCCTCTAGTCACTGCAGTCTTTATTACTCCGCTATTATGTCCCACAGCTAAACATGAAATAAATTTGATTTCTACTGGCTTACTAGCAATGTATTGTATCTAAATACTCATAATTTCCAGGTAATATAAAATAATATACATGAAAGACATGCTAGTTTAAAACTACATTTTTCTTTTCTATAGTGTAAAGAACCATTTTAACTCAAAACCTTAAGGTATTGGGTGAGGGTCTTTTTAATAGTTTATATTATTCTCTAACATATCTTCTCACGCAAGAGCCATTTGGGCTTGAAGCGTGGGTATTGCACAGGCCCAATTTTTTTGGTTTACCTTGTGCTTATTTAATTCCACTAGAAAGTGGGGGGGCGATGAGAATCGAACTCATGACCTTGTGGTCACTCAAGCCCTGATACCATGTAAAGAACCACTTCAACCCAAAACCTTAAGGTGTTGGGTGAGGGCCTTTTTAATGGTTTATATTATTCTCTAACATACCGTACTTATGGTCTGCAATTTACCTCAAGTGTGTCTGTGAGAGATATAAGAATTATGGGTATACAGGCAGTTTGGAAACTGTTATTTCTGGCAACATTTTGCATTTTAAGGTGTATCCCAACATCAATCTCTCTTTCCTTAGTTGATATGATATACAAGGCATTATATTTTTTACTAAATTTTTTTGCTTCTTCCAGCTTTGCTTTTGAATCAATTCTAATGTTTTATTCCATTCTTCCCATAAATTTACATCAGACTGTAGTATTTTTGCTTTTTGTGCTGACATTCAAATGGAAACAGGATGATGAGACTGCCCTACTACAGCAGGCACTTGCAATGTCAATGGATGATCCTGCCGTTAGCCATGATGTAAAAGATACCGATATGTCAGAAGCATCTACGGATGATCCTGAGTTGGCTCTTGGTGAGTTTTTATGTTGTTTATGCATTATTCATGTAAGGAGCACTGACATGGAGATGAGACACAACATAGCCATGGACACTGTAACACAGCACAATTTAAGTGTCCCATTAGGCATTGAAGTGTCACATGGTGTCTTATGTTTCCTTTATGGAACCATGGACACAACTCCTTTTTGAAGTGTCTTACTGTTCATGCTTCACAGTTCTTCCATGGGTGTGTGTTTTGCAAGCCTATTTTTTTACACCATAGTCTTTTCCATTTATGAGAAGTGCATTGTTTATAGTTATATTGCTCGATGATTGAACTAGTTATGGAATTTTGGGAGATTTAATCAACTTATCAAATTTCAACATGGTGCGAGAGGATTTGTCATCTGTTTGCACTTTAGTGAAGAAGTAGAGAGAGTTCTTATTCCTTTTGGTTTGAAGGAATGATGGAACCTAATATTATTAATCTTAAAGTGATGAAAACAATAACGGAGACAAGCTCTTTACAAACACTAATCGCAGAAAAATACACCAATAGACCTTTAGTTCACCCTTAGAACCAACACATCTAGGTTCCAAGAGATCCCCAATTCCCCCAAATATTCACTTAGTTCATACCTCCCTCACTGCACACATTCCCCCTCCTTTTATCTAATTCTCTTGGAACCTTTTAGAACAATTCCCTAACTAACCAACCCACTCACCACTTTCAGCCCGGCAATACTCTCCCTCCAAATCTCACCTTGTCCTCAAGGTGAAGAAAGAGGATAGGCGATGTAAAAAAAACTTCCACCTAGGTCCCATTGCTTGAAGCATTTTGACCAAATCTCTTGAGTGATTTTCAATTATGGCAATGGCAGTATCACATTCCTATACAGCCCTTGGTTGTCGACTCTTTGTTCATCCCCAATTTCCATAGAGTATGTGTTTTTCTTGACCATCGAAAGCTTCAACTCTTGAGCCATTTGCACTGCCAGGAAATTATAGTAAACCCCTCTGTCTATTGTTATTCTAGAAGGTACTTAGAGAATAGGATAAAAGGAGGGGAAGTGTGTGTAGTGAGGGAGGCATGAATTAAGTGAATATTTGGGGGAACTGGGGATCTCTAGGAACCTAGGTGTGTTGGTTCTAAGGGTGAGTTAGGGGTCTTTTGGTGTATTTTTCTGCAATTAGTGTTTGTAAGGAGCTTGTCTCCATCACTTTCAGATTAAGAATATTAGGTTCCATCAAGGAATGATTTCAATATATAGGGTTTGTTCATTTACACATTTACTTTGCTAATTACTTTTTTTGAGGGTTGGGCTTGGTAGAACAGTAGTGTTCTCTGCTTTGAGAAGCTTAGTATTGATCTGGACACAGGGTTAAATTAAGCATATTTTTAGAGTTTTAAGACATGAGAAAGCTTTGGTGGCGGTTGTAATTTTTTGTTGGTTTCTGATCTTTTACTGCATGCAGCTCTCCAATTGTCAGTAGCAGATAGTACAAAAGACCAACCAAGCCAATCAGACATGAGTAAATTGTTGGAAGATCAATCCTTTGTATCTTCTATCCTTGCATCAGTATGTCTGATAATCTTTTAACATAAAAGATTGATGTGCTATATTTTCTGCACTGAGTAATAATTCATTGCTTCTGCAGCTTCCTGGGGTTGACCCGAATGACCCTTCTGTCAAAGATTTGCTGGCCTCCATGCAAAGGCAGTCCGAGGTTAGTCTTTCTATGTAAAAACAAACATTGGATTTATGGAAAATTTCAACAGAGGCATAATTGGATTACTTGGCCTACGATATCCTTGAAATCCCCCCCCCCCCCCCCCCTCTCTCTCTTCTCTTCTAATTGATATGATTATTATTATTGTTATATTCAGCAATAGTTGGATTTGCATGGTGTTTTCTTACTAAGCTTGGACACTCTTTTTCAAATGTTTATAATGCCTGCCCATTTAATGGCTTTTGAGGACAATAGTTGGCTTTATTAATATGAAAACATAATCAGAAAGTACGTCCTTGATTTCTAGGTTGAACAAGAAAATGAGTGTTCATAATAAAAAAGTTAGTATTTATCTCACTCTCATTAGTGTTGTTTTCTTCTTCTTCTTTTTTATTTTTATTTTTTTGAATTTTTTGGAGGGTTAATATTGGGCTTGAAGGACAATAACAAACTGTTCATGCTCACAGCATATTGAGAAATGCTTGTGTAAATTTGGCCTGAAGGTTGTTGTTGTTTTTTTTTTTTTTTGTAATGGATCCATAGACTATTTTGCTGAGGCAATAAGGCTAATTTGCCACCAAGCTTTATCATCTTTTATGCCTACTGCTCTGTCTCAGATTTCTACGGGTTTTTTTTTTTTCCCACGTGGTATTTTGTTCCATTTCCTGTGCTGCTATCAGTTTTCTGATTGTATTCTTTATCCAGCCTCAGCAGAAGAACGAAGACAAGCCATCAGATGAGGAGGAGAAGAAATAATCTTTTAAGAGTCACTTTGCACTGTCTGGTTTTATTTTGCTCCTTTCGAGAGACATTGGTAGCATTTTAGATGGCTGTTCTAATCGGCGAACTATGTTCGCGTGTTCCAATCATTGGAGTCTCCATAGCTGATGGGAACGGATTGCATATCTCTGGGTTGAGTCTCGGATGGTTTTTTTTTATTTTTATTAAAAATGCTCTCGATTGTCACGCCGTATTGTTGGTCAAGGTTGTGCTTATCATGTAACGAGGGCTTTAAAGGACTTGGTTTATGTTAAAGAAAGTTAACCATTTAAATATATTTCAATGACTTCTCGACATTTATGGTATTCCGTTTAAGATCATTTTGCATCTTTTACTCGTTTTAATTTTATTTAGACTTAATTGCAATTTTTATTCTTCAGATTGGAAAAGGTAACAACTTAATCCCTTTATTTTAAATTATGCAATTTCGATTCATTTTTATAAAATGGAAGCAATTAAGTCCGAACAGTTACTGGTGTTAAATCAATTAACGGAATCCATATATAACAATTACAAATAGTTCGTCTTTTTGTGTGACTTCTACCACCTCCTACGCTTCTTTCAAGCTGGCAAGTGTCAAATAAACGGTTTTTTATCCGACTTTCGCATTTTGCCAGTGGAGTTTTATTATGTTTGGTAGCAATCTTCTAGTATGCTCAGAGGGAATGCGTACTTTCCTCTTGAAATTTTAAAAAATAAACAGTCTCATGACTCATCCATGTCTGATTGTAGGAATTTATTAGTCAGTGAATTGTTCAAAGAGACTCTTCCATCAAACGAGTTATACATATATTGGATTATATATCTAAGGTATATAATTCAAATAAAATAACATATTTTACGTTATTATACACGAAAAAAAATTCATATTGTTTTTGTAAAAATATGAAATTTATTTATTTTTTTTAAAATATTATGATATAATTTTTTTTCAGACTTTGTTAAATTAATAATAGTAATAACAATAATAATATAAAAAAACATAACAACTATTAAATTTATAAAGCATAAATACACAACGAAATATAAATAGTAATAAGTTTGAAATAAAGTATATTTGCATAACATTTGTTTTGGTATTTAGAAGTTTAGGGGGACAGAAGATTGTTTCATTCTTAATTCAGGATAAAAAAATATAATTAATAAATAGTTAATTATAATTGAAATTTTAAGATTGAATTTATAAATAGTTAATTAAGTATAATTATGAAAAAAAATTGAAATTTAAAGTAAATAAATTAGTGAAGTTCATTTCAACGAAGCAAAGTTTTAAAAGTAGGAGAAAGTGTAAGTAAATAATTTTTTTTTTCAATAACCCTATCCTAAATAATTTTTTTTTCTTCATTGTTCTTCAGTCTTCCATCCTCGAAATCCTCTCCGTTTCATTTACCTTCTCCTGGTGGCTTTTTGACCCTTATGACCCTTAATTAATAACTAATTACCAAATTGCCCTTCATTCAAAACTATTTCGAAAATTTACCCTCCCCAACAAACATAACACCAATCTGCCCCTGTTTGACTGTTGACCACGAAGCCTACCAGGGTACACCATTACCTACCCGGGTAATTTTTGAAACTTTTTATCTACCCGAGTATGTAGGGGTGTACCCGGGTAGAGTTCTTAAATCTGGGAAAATGGTTGAATTATTTACCCGGGTAAGGAGCAGTGTACCCGGGTAAACATCGACGGTAGGGTTTTAAAATACCCCAGCAGCCCCATTTCGAAAACCCACAAAAGGGGTACCCGAGTAGAGCTGCTGGAGGAGTGTCTTCTTGAGCGATTTCAGGCATAATCTTGCACCAATTCGTCTTGTTTCTGATCATCATTCGCGGACCTTGCAACCTCTCTGCCTTCTACCGATTGAAATCGATCAAAGGTGCACTTTTTTTTCCAGTTTTTTCAATTATGTTATGATTTCTGTTCTGATTCATTGTATTTTCGTTTATATCATTTGATTCTGTCCGAATTATTTTATCAATTTGTATGTCATACGCTTACCCTAACCCTAACCCTAACCCTAACCCTGAATCTAACCCTAACCCTAACCCTAATTTCTGATTTTGGTTATTTTTTCAGTTTAATAGTGTGACACAATGACCTCTCGACGCGTTTCAAAGCTGCCAGTGACCCATTCCGAGAGAAGAACCAAGAGTCGTCACGATGGGTCGTCATCCTCTCAGCCCCAGGCTGCTTCGAGTGAGGCTCCGGACTTGACGTTCGGATATTTGTTTGAGGATGACATACCTTCACACGAGAAGTTCGTGAAGTTTTTCATGACCCGGAAGATCTGCGAACCGAAATCACTGGATTCGGCATTCTTCAACCTAGAGCGTTTTAACATTGTGCCGCTTCTTGAGCAGACACATTTACTTCACCTGGCGGAGATGCGGTGCCCATACTCAGAGGTTATGGTAAGAGCCTTCTACCAGAACCTTGGCTACTCGCAAGGCGAGCTGACTTCCCGTGTCTGCGGGATTGATATCATCATGACTGCTCCTATCTGGACGGAGCTACTGGGGTTCGATTTTGATGGTGTCACAGGAGCAGCACTATATGATGGAGACAACCATCATATATTTGGTGATTATAACCGGGAGACCATTGTTACAGAGACTAGGAGGGCAGACGATGAGCCCGGTCATTTTGCTCATTATCCTGTTAGCAACTTGTCAGTTTCTGCTCGCATTCTTCATTATGTGGTGACACATATTATTTTCCAGCGCCCGCATAATCACTCAAAGGTGCTGGAAGGGGACTTTGTCATCCTGTGGGCCCTCCTTCACAGTCAGCAGGTGAACTGGAGGCATTACATATGCATACTGATGTGGAAGGCAGCCAAGTCAAAGAAGGCTGAATTGCCTTTTGCATTTCTGGTGCAGAAGATTCTGCATAGATTTGGAGTGCCTATGGCAACAGAGACCTTGAAGACCGCCAGAGGCTGGAATGCTATATTTGGTGAGAGGCTCCTGAAGCAGTGTGGGATCCTACCGAACAGAGCGGGTATCTGGACGTGGAAGAAGGCACCAGAACCACCTGAGATCCCATTCCACCACGATGCTGAGATGGAGGATGCACCTGCAGGTGATGTGTTGGTCTTTATGAGTTTATGCAATTTTGTGTTGTTTATTTTTTAATGTGGTATTTATAAGATGTGTTTTTCATGGTTTATGATGTAGGCCTTGATGATGATGACGATGATGATGGCGTTGCTGAGGTTGATGTCAGACCGAAACGTCCCACCCGCAGTCGGCGACCACCAGCTCCTCCTGAGGGTGGATGGACACTTGATCATGTCATGGCATCCATATATGATCTGACTACTGACTTTAGAGGATATAGACAGAGCACGAGCAAGTGGCGGAACCAGATGGACACAAGGGTTGCACGGTTGGACACAAGGGTTTCACGCTTGGAGGGTTTAATTGGCGAGGGTGCCCATACTCAGGAGGAGGAGGAGGAGGAGGATGACAATGGGGATGACACACAATCGGATGAAGAGAATGGAAAGGACACGCCATCGGATTAGTGTGTCCATAGGGTTTCATATCATTGATTTAGTTTGATGTAATGTAGTCATTTTGGTACATTTAGGAACTTTACCTACATTGCATGGATGTTTTTGTACTGGATGTTCAAAATTTGAATGAATGAAATTTTCGTTTTGCGCACGTTCAGACTTGTTGGTTCTATGCATTAGTATGGGACCTTGCATTAATATTGTCATAATTAATTTGGAAATCAATTCAACCCAAAGTACTTTAATATTCATGTTCAACTTTCATTGGCGCACATCTTGATTACTGCATCCTATTTCTACGAAATCAATCCACCCCCAAGTCATACTGTATGTAGGTATTACACAACAATTACCAAAATGCAAAAAAAATGGCCAAAACAGCATCTGCAACAGCATCTGCAACTGGTCTACCCGGGTACCACGAATTGGTCTACCCGGGTAGGATGTACTCCCAGTCACCAAACAACTTAACGATGGCCTTCATTTTTGCCTTCCAGGCCTTCCTGTACGTTATGTTGTATCCATATGTTCCCTGTATCCTCTCCTGTATCAGAGCTGGTCTTGTGGATGGATCTTCCTTTAACATATCTGGAAAAAAAAAATTAACTTTACCATATTCTCAATTAATCTGAATCATTAAATACACAGTAGAATACATACTCATTATAGCCGCACAAATGACATTTGAATCCAACTGTCTATGATCCTGTGCTAGGCCTTGATTTAGGCATGTGTGACCTTGACCCCATTTACGGACCACCCAATTAGCTCCCTTCTTCGGCTTAATTTCCCTCATATATCAGGGACAACCGTCAGCATGGTTTTTACACTTCATAACAAATCTTGACTCGTCGCTTTTTTCAACTATGGCTGTCCTGCGCCCCTTCATACAATGTATCTTCACAGCATGTTGCAATTCTGGTTTGGACCCAAATTCTTGTTGCACAAATAACGGATCTCCTAACTTCCAACCTCCGTGCAAGTCATCATCGCCATATAGGATCTCCAACTCGTCATTAGGGTGCGCCCAGTTAATGAATGAATAATGTTGGCTTTCATTCCAGAATGGCTCCTCAGACCCTGCATCTAAAGATCAACTCTCATTTGTCTGAATGAATACCACCACAAATAATAAATTGTCTAAAGCAAATGTTCAAATTTAATAACTTACCACTACTGACTGGGTCGACATGAAGTGGTGACAAGGCTGGGGTACCGAGACTTACGGCGCTCATGTCAGCCTCAAAATTACCGTCCACGTCAGTGTCTGACGAATCACCTTATGGAATAGCACTTTCAGGTTCTCCCTCATCTTCGCTGTCCACATAGTCCTCGTCTTCATCCTCATCCAATGCTACCTGAGGAGATGCAGAAGATCGTACAACTGTATCTTCTTGACCGGTACAGTGTGCAGTAGTGGTTGTATGCGCCGGTAAAGATGAAGATTGTCCAACATCACCTTTAACTTCAACATATATCTCAATATATTTTAATACTTTCCATTCAACAAACGCATCTGTTACGAACTCCACATCTTCATCATCATTTATATCGTTTCCAATGTAGTATATTGTATCCATATCCACTACAGTCTCTAACCTGGCTATCATGCGGTGGATGGAATGTATGCCTTCTGACCCCATTTTTTGAAGAATTCTCTCCTTCAGTTCATTGCATGTAGTGCCCACTTTGATTTTCATCGTTTTTGTTTTTCCTTCAAATCGGACACCGTTCGGACCTTCAAAATGCCTCCCATTGTAGTAAATAACTATAGGAACCATCTTTGGACTTGAACTCATCTCTCACACAAAAATTAGATCTAGGTTTTGGGTTTGGAGGTTGGTTCGGATTTTTGAGCACAAAATGGGAGTGTGGAGATGTAATCTCAATGTCCCACCAAGATTCAGCTTTCTGAAATGATGAGATGAAATATGTGTGATGTTTCGGATTAGAGAGGGTAAGAGAGAGAGATTTGGGGTTTCAAAAACCCTATACCTCGCAACAATGGCCGAAACCCATACATATTGGGGTTTCTGGACGCGATTTACCCGGGTACACTGATCCATACCCGGGTAAATAATTCAACCATTTTCCCAGATTCAAGAACTCTACCCGGGTACACCCCTACATACTCGGGTAGATAAAAAGTTTCAAAAATTACCCGGGTAGGTAATGGTGTACCCGGGTAGGCTTCGTGGTCAACAGTCAAACATGGGCAGATTGGTGTTATGTTTGTTGGGAGGGTAAATTTTCGAAATAGTTTTGAATGAAGGGCAATTTGATAATTAATTATTAATTAAGGGTCATAAGGGTCAAAAAGCCTCTCCTGAGAGGATTATAATAACCCCGTCTCCGAAAAAAAAAAGGTAATTAAGAAAATATTTAGTTTAAATATAAAGTTCTTACGGGTATTCGCGCGGGAAGCTTAGGGAGGAAGACACAAGCTGTGTCGCCACGCCACTCGTCTATTCTTGATTGGTCCATTTTTTCCTTTCCTTCTCTCACGCTCCATTACAGTAGTGACAAACCCAAACTGTTCATTCATTAATGGCTATGCAAAACCCTAATCGAAGAAATTCCCTCTACCCAGAGGTAATCGAATCCAATCCCGATGCTCCCTCACGTCTCCTTCACACTAATAGCTCGTCCTCTTCGCAACCCAACCTCTACCCTTCCATCGACCTCAACGACGTCGTCCAAAACCTCTTCCCCGACGACATCACCACTGACAGCTCTCCCTCTGCCCCGCCGGCGGTTACCGAAGATGTCATCATCAAGATCCCCGGTGCCATTCTCAACCTCATCGACAAGGAATACAGCGTCGAGCTCGCGTGCGGCGATCTCACCATCATCCGTCTCCGCCAGGGCGACAACGCCGTCGCCGTCTACGCCCGCGTCGCCGACGAGATCCAATGGCCGTTAGCTAGGGACGAGACCGCCGTCAAAGTCGACGACTCGCACTACTTCTTCTCCTTCCGCGTCCCCAAGGGTTCCGATTCCGACGGTGAGGAAGAGGATCGCCGGAAAGGGGATAGATCCGATTCCGATTTGTTGAGCTACGGGTTGACGATCGCGTCCAAGGGGCAAGAGCATTTGCTGAAGGAACTGGATGCGATTTTGATGAGCTGCAGTAGCTTCTCTGTGCAGAAGGTTTCGGAGAAGGCGAAGAAGAAGGGGGAGGCTCTGGATGGGTCGGTGGCGAAGGAGGTTTCACCGAAGGATTTGGAGTCGGCGAAGAAGAAGGAGATGATGGAGGGGCAATGCGCTGCGTATTGGACCACGTTGGCTCCGAATGTTGAGGATTATAGTGGAACTGCTGCGAGGTTGATTGCTTCAGGTTCTGGACAAGTGATTAAGGGGATATTATGGTGTGGAGATGTGACTGTAGAGAGGTTGAATTGGGGAAACAAGGTTATGAAGAGGAGGATGTCTTCTGGTTCACAGGCTGAGATTAGTCCTGAAACCTTGAAGCGGATTAGAAGGTGTGCGATAGTTTAATCTTTTTCGGGTTAATCATGTTAAAAAATTGCTAATTAACATATGTGAAGTTTTAGAAATTGATTAAAAACTAGGGATAAGATAACCAAATAATGTTACTATCACATCTTAAGCGTTGATTTCGTCAATTAACGATTATCATTTATTGCGAATTAATAATTAATTAATGAGTTTGATTTAAAAAATGATAACCGTTGATTGTCGGAAATCAACGGTTAAGATGTGGTAGTAACATTATTTGGTTGTCAGAATATCCTATCCCTAAAAACTATTAGGATTTAATTTTTATCCGATGTTAGTTAAAATTTTATTAGGGAAAACTTCAATTACCTGTAAGTTTGTTCAGAATCATTTACCCCCTCTCCAAAAAATTTAATAATTTACACCTCTATTTAATTTTTTTTTATCACTTATCCCCTATTTTCATTTTCCATTCAAAACTAAACTTAACTCTGTTAACTTTAAAAAAAAATCACTTCTACCCTTAAAATCAGAATTGGTTCTTTCATTTCAAATGTTTGTGTATATCAACGTGTCTTGGTCCGGGTGAAGGGGATGGGGTCCTTGCACATTTGATACCATCTGTCTTGTGGTGCCATTTTATTATCCAGATTTACTCCCTTGCAAGCACTGTACGTGAGTTGTTGATAGATTATGGACTAAATCAATTTAACGTTAGTGTTTTTTATTATAAGGGTACTTGTGGTATTTTTTAAAAAAGTTAACAGACTTAACTTTAGTTTTGGATGGAAAATGAAAATAGAGCGTTAAGTAATAAAAAAAATTTAAATGGGGGCGTAAATGATTAATTTTTTTTGGAGAAGGGGGTAAATGATTATGAGGAAACTTAACATTGGGTAATTGAAGTTTTTCCATTTTATTATAATACCCATCTGCCTGCCATATTACTATAGCGTTTGACTCGTTAAGTACTATACTTGTTATAATTAAACTTTTAATAGTATGGTAATATTTGATTCGAGAATATTGTAATTTTTTTTTTACACTGGCAGTGATGATTATTAGGGGCCGTGTCTCTCGTGTCTTCGGGGGCATTACTCAAAATTTTTTAACAATCTTAATTTTACATTTTTATAATTATTAATTTAGCCCAAACAAAATGTTCCTTTTTTTTTTTTGGTAAATAACAAAATGTGTTTTCTCGTTTACTCTAGCTCTGCCCTGTATATTACTATGTTATATTGTCTAGCCAAATAATTTATTAGACAAGGAAGTTAGAGTCTGCTACTTTTTAAAGTTATTTTAGTTATCTTTTTTTGTTTTATCAGTTTGAGCCATTATATAATTGACACTCTGACCTTGGGTTTGATACATATACATTTTTCATAGGGTTAAGAGAGTGACTAAAATGACAGAGAAAGTAGCAAATGGATTCCTCTCTGGGGTCGTGAAAGTTTCTGGATTTTTCACCAGTTCAGTGGTAAATTCAAAAGTCGGGAAGAAATTTTTCAGCCTTCTACCCGGGGAAGTTGTGCTTGCTTCATTGGATGGATTCGGTATGTCTGTTATATAATTCGTTGTATTTTATGTGGGTTATTAACATGCATCGCTGAGTTGTTTGAGTTCCTAGTTCTAACCTGTAGCCAAATATGAAATGTCTACAAAGGAAGTAAGTATAGTTATGATTTACTAACTATAGTTATGATTTACTCCCAATCATACTGCGTTTCTTTTTCTGATTTGACAATAGAAGACACCGACATATTTTAGCATGCTTTACTGTGACATTATGCAATATGTAAAGATAATTTTTTTTTGTTTTTTGTTGTGGGGGTGGGGTTGGGGTGGGGTGGGGTGGGGTGGGGAAGATGTTCTTCTAGATAGATAGGAATCCAATGAACTTGATTTGGCATTGCACACATAAGTAGGGATTTGTCTTGATAAAGAAATGGTTGTAGACATATTTAATGAATTGAAATTCGGTGGATATAGTAAATTTTCGTGACAAAATATTTTCATTTGGTCTTAGTTTTTTTAAGGTGGGTGTCTAAACTATGCATTTATTGTTTGGACTTTAAAAATCTAGAAAAATCATGTTAGATTTCAACACATTCTCATCAGGTATGAGTCTGATTTAGCCCATCTTTGAACAAACATGCCTATATGGTCATAAAATGGAGATTGAATGAGGTGGAAATGGGATGCATGCTCATATAAGTGTTGTTTTGGGTTGGCATTATCTTGCTTAAGCAGGTAAATTAGTGTCTTGTTAAAGTTAATCTAAATTATCTAATGTCAAATTGTTTTGCCAAATGTCACAATCTGTGTGATCTGGTTGTCATGCAATCGGCTTCATATTAGATTTTCACTCTTATCAATTTTTAATGATGATGAAGAGTTGTCTTAATTTGTTGTTTATGTTCTATAAATTTTAATAATTCTGAAATCTAGTATAGGATTCGAGAATATTTAGGTGCAGACCTAATGTGTGTATATTGCTAGTGAATCCAGAGACGATGATGGCATTGGATTTTCACGCGGCCAATTCATGTGCATGTGCTCAGTCATTCCCTTTTCATTTCGATAAAGTTATTTTGCAATAATAGGATAGATAACCTGATTGTGGAGATTTCTAATCTTAGCAAACTATTTTGAGTTTGATCTGTGGACTGTGACAGTGAATTGTTAGATCTGAGTCACCCAGATTATGTGTTGTTTGATATGAAAGTTATTAGGTTTTAAATTTAGAGCTTGAATGACAACGTTTTCAAAAATGTTATTTTTTTATTTTTTATTTTAGTCTGGGAACAGAGATGCTCAAACAGTGTTTGGTAAAACCAATTTGTTTCTGTTCCAGAGAATGAACCAATAGCCAGAAACATAAATGTGCAGAAATAATAAACAACCTTTTTTTCCCTGAAACGCTATTTATTATTACACATCGTAGAATATATTATCAGAATTAAATACACATTATTTATTAAATACAAATTCTCTCCTATAGGGAATAAAAATAAATTATGTTATCAAACATATATATTTTTTTTTGGAAACTCTTCCTAAGCATAAAAATTAAAGGAAAATCATTTCTCCCCAAAAACAGTGCTAGAGAACAAAATGCTTGTCACACACTCCCTTTGTCACTCAAGATCATTTGCCTTTCATGAAACCCTCTTGATCCGTTCGTGTAAATGTTGTTAGGGCCCTCCGGCCTTGTACAAAATCAGTCTAGATATTTATATTCAATTGTTATTGGTACTTTATAGTCTACCAAGCTAATTATTTGCATGATAAATCTGTCTTGGAAAAGTTTGAATTTTCAAATTTACATGTTTGATGTTTCGATTTTCTTGAAAATAGGTAAAGTGTGTGATGCTGTTGAAGTAGCTGGAAAAAATGTCATGTCAACGTCATCCACTGTGACAACCGAGCTTGTCGACCACAGGTAATGCTCAATAGATTAGGGATTGAATCTGGTGATAATATGATTTGCCTCTCCTAAACTAGTAAACAAAAGTTCATTCTCTCTGGCTTAACTGCTGTATGATATTATGGGAGCGTATGGCATACTAGTAATTTCATACTGGCATACTAGTAATTTCATACTGGTCTGTGAAATACCTGCTTCAAAAACCCAGAGTTCAAGATCCGCATGTTTTTAGAATGGGAATTAAAAATTTAATGTGGTTAATTTTGGGTGTGATACCCAAGAATGCGGAGATCTTGAATTCACTAGTGTACAATATCCTGATGATGCCATCCAAATTACACTCAATTTAGAGAGAGGTGCAAAATTTTTCTATTTGGGTTTGATTAAGCAACGTTAAGAAATAAAATAGAAACTATTCAATGAAAAGTATAAATATTTAATATCTTGAAAATTCATAAAACATTCTTCATTGAGTAATTAGAATTAGTTATGAATGTTTTATTCCTTAACTTCCGCTGTTGGGGCACCTGTCAACCAAATCTTTCTATTTTATTTGGACTTTGAATCCCCAAACTACTGTTCTTGGGTATGTAGAGAAACTTCTCTTTACCACACACTTCCTGTGATTTAATTACCAATAAAATAAACTAGAAAAGTAGAAAAACGTAAGGATTACATTTCGGTGTACTATTTTTGTTAACTAGCTGTCGAAGTTCTTTTCTTTGTTCCTTCTTGGTGTGTGTTCTAATAATCTTTCTTTTACAACTTATTGCCGTAGCGAATGAAATCCACTTTCCTTAATTTACTGTATTTCATTTTCCATGCAATGCTTTGAGAATTTAGGCATACACAATCTGGTGGGTGGAATGTCATTGTGCTTCTCTAACAGCTCAGAAGTAAATTTGACAATTTGTATACTGCAGATATGGTGAACAAGCTGCTGAAGCAACAAGTGAAGGGCTTAGTGCTGCTGGTCATGCTTTGGGTACTGCATGGGCTGCTTTTAAGATTAGGAAAGTTATTAACCCTAAGAGTGTTCTAAAACCTACCACCCTGGCCAAATCTGGTGCTAAAGCTGCAGCGTCTGAATTTAAGGCTAAAAAGTCTAAGTGATATTCGTCAGGAGTTTGTCAATTTAGATTTGGCCATCCTACAACCAAAAGCTGCTGGTTTCGACTCAACATTACCCCCTTTTTCTCCTAAAAAAAGGCGGAGAGAAGATGGACGCATGATTTGTGGTTGTTATTGTTGTAATTTTTTTATTTTTTTATTTTTAGTTTTTGGGTGAGTATATTGGATTTGGATATTCTCCTGTTCTTTAGTAATAGGATGTAATTATTTATAGAGAGAACTAAACAATTTTTGTCATGCATAGCTTTATCATGATTGATTATTATGGAGTCCACTTATCCTACACGATCATATTGTTACTGAACCAAATCGGCGTGCGTGCATGCGTGCACAATTCTATTTATTGCTTGGGTGGCAAGAACTTATGTTTAGTGATGAATGGAAATTAATGTATTTTACCTGTGGTTCTGGTCCCCATGACGTGTGTTCTCAGTCGGCATCACTTGTTTCCAAAGTGCGTTTATAATCACACATCACTTTCACCTTTTGTAGAAGTATTGCGACACTTTTCGGTACGGTTTGCTAGAGGAAAATTTGTGCAAAGACATTCCTGGAGGAAAATCACCCCTGATAAGTTTGTATATTTGTTGTCACCTCAGTTAGTTATACATAATTTTCTCGAGATGTTATTTTCAACCTTTGGATCAATTCAATTGATTATAAAATAGCATAACCATTATGTTTTTTTCACCTAATCGTAATTGTTCTACATTTTCTATTCTGATATTTTGCAGTCATATTGAGCTTTATCGGTTTACATGCTACTAGTTAGCTGCTCACTGGCTCTTTTCTCATATAGTCCGGTTGGTGAAACTGATAAATATCAAGAGTTATGTGTCATTTCTGCATTCGTCGGATAATATTATTTGTTAAACCATTGGTTCTTAGGACTGAGATTGACAGATTGTGCCAACAACCTAGTCTTCTTTTTTGTACCATCAAAGGCAAATATATATATATATATATATATATATATATATATATATATATATATATGGCAAATGATTTTTTCATTGAGATAAATTATCTTCGATAAGTCCAAAACGACGTTGTTTTGATGTGGAAATCAAGGTATTTTTGTAATTGTAATATATTGCAGGGTTATGTTAGTCTTTAACATTATAATTTTTTTAATCTTATAAATCCAAAACGACATCGTCTTGAGCTCACTGGAGATAACTTTATCTCCGGTGACTGGAGAAATACTTTTCTCATATATATATATATATATATATATATATATATATATAAGTTCATTTTTTTAAAGCTACTTTAAATAACTTCGTCTAATATTCACCAAAACGACATCGTTTTGGGATGAAAATCATGGTGTATTTGTAATTTTAATTTATTTCAGAGATAATAGTCTTTATCTCTCGAATTTTTTAACGCCAAAATGATGTCATTTCGGTAAATATTAGACAAAATTGTCTAAAGTAACATTAGATACTTATATATATATATATATATATATATATATATATATATATATTTATTTATAAGACTTAACATATCTCTTGTCATAGGAGAGATTAAAATTTTCCAGCAGAGAGATAATTTTGTGGAGCCCATGAGTTTTTGAAAATGAAAAAAATGAAAAATTAAAGCACGAAATTCGAGCTGACACAACATGAGAAATACACTTCCCAACAACATATTCTTCCCCCAACTAACGAAGAGATCAATGACGTTCAATTATCCGAAACAGAATTTCCAAAAAAATGGCTAACAGATGGTTTTCATTTTGAATTTGAATGATTATCCCATCTAATTTGTACGTTAAAAATAGGAGAAGTGTATTTCCCATGTATATATATATAAAGGTGAAAATTAAGTGAGATGGACTACCTTGATTTTTACTCTCTAATACTTGAAGTAGGGTGTAAAGTGAATAAAAAGTATTTTTATCTCATTTTTATAGCAGAAGAGAGGTTTAAAACGGTTGAAAATTAAGTGAATATAATTTGTATTCTATTTTTAATAGTCTCTATGTTCTCTAAAAAAATTAATAATACGATTTGGTGCAAAACTCCTATTTTTACAACAATACAAAAATAACCTCCCGTTTACAAAAAATAAAAATAAATAATAAACTCCCCATTTTTATAATATTACCTAAGTGAAAAAACTTTAAATTTCTTTTGTCTCTTAACTTTCAATTGTTTATTTATATTTAACCGAGCATCTCCATCCGTCACATTCTCAAAATTCAGACGGAGGATCAAATCAGTAGTGGCCTATGGAATCACGAGTTGTTGCATGAGTTTAATTTATTTATTTATTTGGGGCATGGGAGGGTAAGGCATTATTTGAGCACCAACTTATCTTAAGATGGTGATGTTTTATTTTAAGTGTGTACTGCAAGCTCCCAAATTCTCAATGCCATAAACTTTTTAAGTCTTTGCAGCGAATCAAATGCTACTTTTGGAACACCATCCTATCTTACGATGGTGATGTTTTGTTTTAAACCTATGTTGATATTATACTATCAATTTAATGTCTTTTATATTATAGAAAATAAAATTATTTTTTATACATATATAAAAATCTGTGAGACCTGTATTTTCTTTTTCTTTTTTTCTCTTCTCTTCGTATAGGCTCTATACACTTTTATATAAATTTTTATATGTTACACCATGAAAAACATCAAATATCCCCTAAAAGATGAGTTATGCTAAAATGAGCCATGAGGTATGGATTTTTATCGACAAGTCGATTGCTTAATAAATTGTGGTCAGGGATTACCTAAATTTTCATCACAACACTAGAGTTATTATTATTATTATTGGGAAGTAAAAACTTAAAAAAAATAAAAAAAATCACTACATAAAAAAAGAGAGGCAATGACCTGTCATTGCAAGTAGAGATAACAAAACGGGGCGGGGCGAGATGAGCTTTTCAACCCATCTGAAAAGCGGGGCAAGGCGTGCTTATTTTTTGGCGGATTGATGGCGGGCATAGACGGGCCGAGGCGGGTCAGTGTAAAATAGGCTTGGACTGGCGGGTCAACCCGCCCAACCCGCCAAACGAAGCGGGGCGGGCTAAGTTTTTCAGCCCACTTTTAAAAGCGGAGCGGGGCAGACTGACTTATTTTTTGACGAGTTGATGGCGGGGCGAGGCGGGCTGCCCACTTTGCCATCCCTAATTGCAAGCACCCAAGTTCCGCCATAGAGAAGACTAATTTATTATGGGAGGAATTTGTCATAATATTTGGCATTAGAAATTTAGAATATTTGACCTAACTAAACTTGTGTGATTTTTATAATGAATGATATGCGGGACGTGTTGTAATCAAAACCATTCATGTTTTATATACGGTACAGTTATGATTAGGTGATTTGCAATTATTCCTAACCATTGCTCTTGTATGACAGGTTCCCTCCAGATACTTCTGCTTTAGATGTTCATCCAGAATAAATGAAATGGAAAAGGTAAACCGTCCAATTAAATAGCACAATAATGAACTATTCATTTTTCTTCAGTGGCAAAAGACATGGATTCCACTTGATTCTCTTCATCGAACATAATCTCAATAAAATGACTAATATTTATAGGTTATTGTCCCTCCTAATGAAGATGACTTCTATACTTGCCATTAAATCCCCCGTACAATTTTTTATAGAATAATATAAATCATTAAAAAAGTCTTCATCCAAAGTTTTAGGTTGAAATAGTTCTTTAATTCTTACCGTTCTCACTTTCTAATGGAATTAAAATAAGCACAAGGTAAACAAAAAATTGAGTCTGTGTAATATTCACATTTCAAGTCCAAAAGATTTTTACATGAGGAAGTGTGTTAGATAATAATATAAATTATTAAAAGGTCATCACCCATTACCTTTAAACTTTTGAGTTAAAATAATTCTCTGCCACTATATATCACTTCTAATCAGGATAGAAATTCCCTTTTTAAATTCTAAAATCCACAACTTGGAATTTCCACCTCTAGTTTATCGCCTTTAGAATTTAATTCCTCCTTGACCAAAACAATTGGTATTTGCGCCCATGGAATATAATTTCAAAAATTGTTATGAATGTGACTGGGAGGGTCACTGAATTGGTACCTTTCATTTATCCACTCTTTTCTCTTATGTTAGTGCCCAAAGATTTTGCATATCTATCTGTTTCTTGTCGGCTTGCTGGCAGCAATAGTTAAACACTAAAACTCTAGGATGGTTTGGTTCAGGAAAATTTTTTTAAATATTAGAGAAATGTAATTAATAGGGAAATGTTAAAAAGTGAGTTTGGTAGAAAAATGTAAAAAAAATTGTTTGGTTGAGTAAAATATTACTGGGAATAAGTTGTAAGTTGTACTGTACACATGTTGCTTTTTGTCATTTACCCAGCTTTCTCTCAAATACCATGTTAGAAGTTGATAAGTTGAACAGTGCTTTTCATCCATTTTTACACACAATTATGAAATGATGGGGAACCAAGTTAGCTAGGAAAATCTTGTAATTTTTTTTACCAAACTTGGATAACACAAAAATCCAATCTCATATGCCTAGATATCCTCACAAAAAGCTCCAACCAATCTCATTTACCCAGTCTATACAATATCAGCTGTGAGTTAAGAACATGTGATAAGAGCAACGGAGTTTAATTCCCGCTAATGTTTTATATGTCAAGTTAATAATTTTATGGGTTTTATTATTCTCCTTCAACATAAGATAGGTATCTTATGTTGTAGAGATAAAATAGGTGGGTCCCACCATTACAAGAAAAAAGAAAAAAAAAGAAAAAGGTGAGATGCGGAAATCGAAGTGAGAGAGTAGGAGAGAAGTAATCTTATGTAAAAGGAGAATAATATTTCTCTAATTTTATATACTATTTGTCTAACATACCTTTCATCTAGGAGTTATTTTGAACTTGAAGTGTGACCAATATACAGCCCATCATATCATATTGATATATAAACATATTACACCGATAACCCATTTTTTTTAAGGGATTGAAACGTGGAACATTTAATTTTTATTAGAAAACATGGATGATAAGAATTGAACTCGTAATCACTTTATCAGAGACACTAATATCATGTTAAATAATTACTTCAACCCAACAATTTAAGTTTTATATTTTATTTTTCTAACATACCTCTTCCTTCACTTCTACGCTCATTAGGGAGCTACAAAGGGGTCAAGCTCGTAGGATGAGTCCTAAGACTAACTAGAAAAATAGAGAGAGAAAGGGCTAAACTGTAATGGCAGATCACATTTTCTAGTTCTGGAATTTTAAGTGGTCGGCCACGTCAATTTTGGGAAATGATCTCATATGTACAAACCCGACATTGAAATATTCTTATAAACTTATACTTTTATCTCTTTAGTAAAAGGAAGAGAAA